CAATGGTACCGCTTGCACCCAAACTGTCAGAGAGAAGAATTCGAAAATGAATAAGAAAATATAGATTTACCGCGGCTCTCTTAATAAAGAGTATTAACGAAACTCTAATGTGTAAATTATTAATTACCGTATTGTAAAATTCTTCTGAAGATTGAAATAAAAAATATAATTTTCACTATATGTTATATACAATATGTAACAAAAAAATGAATGTCGTTACGTGAATCGATATATCTCTTTATGTATTAGAATAATTATTTTACGAAATAAATAAATGACAAAGCGGAAGACTAATAATTTATATACGCGAAATATTTAATCGCGATATACGCGGTATATTTACGAGAACAAAATTATATAATTAATTTACGAAGAAATTCACTTATGTACGAAATTGTTTACGAACTTGTTATTATGAAAAAGAAAAAATTTTGAATCGCGCACAACCCGACAACACGTCTGTTATACTTGAGAGATCGACGAGATCTGAGCCTACGCGCTGCGCTGTGAATAGAGCGCACGCATCCCCTACTGTGCGCAAAAACACTCGCCGGTTGGAAAAACACCTCAGTCGTTGAACATAACACGTTTATTTTTCACGTTCTTTCGTATTAAAATTTAACATTTATTACATTTCTTAATTCTTTTTAAAGGAAGAGAACATTTATTACATTTCTTAATTTTCTTTAAAGGAAGAGAACATTTATTACATTTCTTAATTCTTTTTAAAGGAAGAGAACATTTATTACATTTCTTAATTCTCTTTAAAGGAAGAGAACATTTATTACATTTCTTAATTTTCTTTAAAGGAAGATTCTCTTCTCTATAAAATTCTCTTTAAAGAGAATTAAGAAATGTAATAAATGTTCTCTTCTTTTAAAGAGAATTAAGAAGTGTAATAAATATTAATATAATATAAATATTATATGTAATAAATATTAAGTAATAAGTAATAAATGTTCTCTTCCTTTAAAGAGAACTGTTCTCTGAATCCTTTAGATTTAATAAGTCATTACGTCGATTATTAAATTTACATAAGATTCGACGCAATATTCGATGAGTATTGAAAATAAAAGACTTGCATAAAAAATATTTCGTCCGTTATTTATATTTCTTTATTTATTTCTTTATTTCTTTATTTATTTATTTATTTATTACCTGCCTTTCTCTCTTTATTTTATTTTACACGCTAATAAATAATCAAGCGAACAAGTGCACAAGATTTACGCGCAATAGTCTTGGTCGTTGGAAACTATGTAAACGCTGAAAACGAGCTGAAATCGAGCGAAGGTACCAGGGAAGTATGTCTTGCGAGTAGGTATACGCGCCAGCTCCTGGGCGTGTATATAACGCGCTTGACCCAACCCCGCGCGCGGCAGCCATTATGGATTACGCGCGTCGGCCATTATGGAGCGCTCGCGCCTCAGCCAATCACTGCGCGACTCACGGCGCGCAGGAGGTGTTGGGGAGACGCGTAGCCTCGCCCACAGATACCTCTCGCATTACCTCTTCGCACAACATGTGTTCCTGATACTTTCAGCGATTTTTCGAGGCTTTCAGAGGACGCGCAACTCACCTTACCCGCTCAATTCTCTTGCTATTTCTCTCTCTCTTGCTTAATTCTTTTACATTTTTTCAATAATTTGTCAATCTTTAAACAATAATTTGTAAATTTATTATAAATATACGTATGTATAGAAAACATACTATTTATTATTAAGGATTAATAAATGTATGTACATACAACGTGTAAAAATAAACAGTTATGATAATAATGTAAGTAATCAATTTTGATGCATATAAATTTATAAATTATATATGCATAATTATATACGCGATATAACTTATAAATTATATATGCGTAATTATATGTATATGCGATATGACTTATAAATGATACATGCGTCACAATAAAATGTATAAGTAATTATCATATTTTGTATATTGAGAAACAATAGAAAAAGTAACAATAAATTAGATTGAGTTTGCAATGTGTTTTCCAGCACCAAGGATTTTATTATTCTGTTATTATTACATAATATTGAAAATGTGTCCATTATTTTAATTTGTTTGAGAGTTTCGGGCATACATACTGAATTTATAACAAAAGTTTATATACAAATACATAAACTTTATATATCTTTTTGATAAATATGTATTACATATATATTTATTTTATTTTTATTAAATATCCTTGTGTCTATAAAATGTTANCATTAATGATGAAACTTTTGCAAGTATAACTTCAAATATAACACAAATGACACACAACTTAATATATAAAAACCAAAACAAATACCTTTTACAAATTATTCTAATTATAAACTTAAAGCAAATTATAGATAGAAAAGCTATACATTTTATCACCTGCAAAATATATAACACAAAGAAAATTACGTATTTGTGTTACTACCGGGAAGTTTTTCTTGGCTGTCGATACACTTTAAACATGCACTTAAAAAATATGTGCACGTAACAATTCAGCCTTTAATTATTTCAATTCGATAAAATCTTACGTATATAACATATACATTGCAACGTTAGTAACCATTCTCACAATCAGTCTCTGTTTTTTAACTCTATTAGTCACTCAGTCTCCGTAAACATTTTGTGCTAAAATAAAATGGTAAATGTTTAGCCAATTGAAGTTTTACATCATCTATTACATTTGTGACATAAAAAGACAAATATCCTGAATAAATGTAAATAAAACACTTATGGGAATGAACGCAACATTTCCTCGCAAAAATTAAACGTAAGAAACACCTTATGCCAAATGGTTCTTAAAATATTTAAAAAAATATAAAACTATCTCTTAAATTATTATCTATAACATTAACAGTTATTTTTGTTTCAACTGACATATACATACATCAACTTGCAATATCATACTAAGGAATTTAAAACCGTGTGTTAGAAAGATCTCTTGTCCTATAGTTTTTCTTACAAACATAAATTATGTTCGGAAATTTGCAAGAATTCTAATATGTCCAGTCTCTTATCTATATATATATGGAGTGTTTTTAAGAAAATAAAATAAAATTTATAAACCACAGAGCAGCAAATGATGATGTAAAAGGAGATGATATTTGACTACACTCCACGAATTCTGATGTTGCTCGCTAAAATAAGATTCTTTTCTTGACTATCACATCTTTTCTGGTATACCACATTTATGTTGTACGAAAAGTTGCAATGGTTTTTCTTATCCTTTCTCATCTTCTCATCGCGAGATCGGTCATTTTAAATTTCAAAAAAAATCAAATTCACGCTCTCGAATATACTCACACACTTAAAGAAAGTGACCATTTAAACTCGTGCACATAGCACAGAATAGAACCGCACGCTGTGGACATACCGACATGTCCTCGTGGACATACCGACATGTCGCTCGTGGACTGGCTGCGTAGTTCCAATGTGTACCACTCGTGGACATGCGCTACGGTAGTGTATGGGGCGGAAAAGTGATTACACATTCTCTTATAGACTTGGTCGCTCTCAGGCTTTTCTCTGGTTCTACAGTGATCGCAAGCGCAAAGGTATAGATCTCGTAGATCTGACCAATCACGCTGGTCAATTGGCTGATTTGATCAATACGATTAGTCAATTGTACCAGACCTAACCTAACCTGTTCCTTGCGTTTGCCCTTGCGATCAATGTAGAACTGGCTTAAGATTTGAGAATCGACCATGAATTCGAACACCTTATTCTCTGTACATTTATATACGTTAAAGCACAGCGAAGACTTCACTCGTATGTTGATTGTATACGTAGCTCGATGTGGACAGGAGTACGAAACATGATCACGTATTGTGGCTCGCGGTGATTTGAGTGAGAGTGACGAGTGAAATCGTCGACCTACGTGGTGCATCATCCGATAAAATTTGGAGCAATACCGAAACATACTTAAAAAGTCAGAAACATACGTAAAGAGAACAGCGTAGTTCTTCGATTGCTGTAATATTTTACTGTGAGTATCTCCGTTTCACATATGTCGCGCAAATACGCATGTGTGACGACACTTTACGGTGCAATGTTATTCAAACGTGGCATTTTACAAATTTATAGCCGCGTAGAAAGTTGCTGACAGCAACTTGGAGTGTATTTGTATGCTTTTGAATATTTTCACGAATGTAAAACAAAGAGATATTACTGTAAAATGCAATGGTAATAATTAACGATAAAATTGAAAGAATTAACACGTTACCTAGTGATGCGAGTACTTTTTTTAAAAGTTAGTCTTTTTTAAGCGAAAATATTTGCGAAATTTGCGACAAACGAATGTTCTCAGACCTTGTTACAAGTTTGAATTCTAATTTTCCTGCAGTATTAAAATTTCATACGTAAATATTTTTTAGATATAAGAATTTGATGTTGTTGTTTTTTTCTCAAAGAAATTTTATTATATATTTTGACGTCTAGAACGTGAAAAATCTGCAATTAAAGTTCTCCATTCTGCGTAAAAAGAGAGCAAAATGTACGAAGAGCGGTTGAAAGTATCCCTTTATTTAAGTGTGACTTTGTAGAATACATATTTTTGTACTTGACAAGTTTCATGAAGTTGTGAAATGAGTCATTTTGTAAAAATGTAAATCGTGATGGAAGTACGTACTTGCAGTAATTGCATATTAATGCACGCATACGAAAGTGATTTAACTTAACTCTTTACTGACACGCGGGTTCTTGCGAAAGTGTTGACAGATTTCATAACCTCATAAACTATTTGCAAATGTTGCATATTGAAAATACTTTTTAATTCAGATTAGATGTTGTCGGATATTTTATCCACGAAAGAGATGCGTAATTCTGAAAAACTTTTAATGATTCCTCATTTCTGAAAAACTTTTAATGATTCCTGATAATATAGTAGTTTAACGATCTCTTTTATGCTTATTGGTTTTTAATCTTTCTGTTGCCCTTATCGTAAAGAAATCGCTCGGTCGTGAGTCAGCTCTCAGGAACTTCATATCTATAAAAGACCTTTATATCTATATAAAAAATTCGATAATCGTCTCTTTCTGTGTCGCGCAGGATCTCATGGATTGTTTTGCCGATCAAAATGATGATTCTTGTTCCACCGAGACGTACCGACATGTTTCCAGCCCGGAGATGTTTGACAGCGAAACCGAGAGCGACATCGAAATGAAAGGCGGCGAGCACAATGACGATGCATTGATAACGCGCATTCCCGAGATCTCGCAAGCCGAATTAGTTGCCAAGTCGGATAAAGCTCTGCTGAGCAGAATCAACAAGTATCTGAGTGGCGTTCCGCCTCCACCGAAACACACCATATCCCAGCGAGATTGTGCGGACTTTTTAGAACATATTTACAAAAACCGCGAATTGTTCTTGTCTGGATTTTGCCCATTACCGGGCGAACATTCAGAATCCACAATACAAAGTACAAAGCTACAGAGTAAGGAAGACGATAGCGGAAATATTTATCAATTAATCACGCGAACTGCTTCGAGAAATTTGACAAACCACTTTGACGCCTGTGATCCGCCAGCCGATAGTACAGAAAACGTGGAATTAGTTAGAATTAATGGCGATAATTTAAGTACACAATGCAGTGTTCCTAACAAAGTAGATATGTCGGTTAATGTGATAACGAAAGTTTCGCCAATTAGAGACAATTCGAATGTATCTCAGGAGCAATCTTCTCTTCTTTATCATACAATTAGTGAAAAAGAAGCCGTGACTTTAGCATGGCCCGAGGCGTATTTTCACAAATTCTACGGCATGCAGTGAGTTAATTATATTTGTATATATATATATATTTTTTTTTTTGTATTATATTTTATCTCAAATTTACAAGAACTTTATTTCTAGTGTTTTTTTTTTTTTCAAAATTTCAGTTACAACAGAAGCAGAGTTGTGGAAGATTTTGAGAATTTAACAATAAAATTGTGCGAAAGATACGTAGGAGCCGAGACACAGTCAACTTGTAATATATGGTTTTCGAAACAGCCGAGTAGCCCGAAGAAACGAAGTTTACTGGCAAAGCGCGTGAACGGCCAAAGTCCGGAGAAGAGATTGACACATTTAGCTAGAAGACGCAAAACTTTCTCGAGCGCTAACTTGCAGGGACTTGCTGAAAAGAAACAGTTTATGGTACAAATTAAGTGAGTATTGGTAAATTATTAACAATAACGAACCACCTTCCGATCAACTTGAGTTTCACATATGTTGTCAAGGACACTGTCCTGAGTGACATGCAAACAATTTTAGCAGTCGCTCAAATTAATATTGACAATAACGGGTTACTCTCCGATCAACTTGAGCTTCACATATGTTGTCAAAAATAAGAGTTTATTTATAAAACTTGTTTTGTTATTAACTTTTTAATAAACAACGAGCGACGGCTAAAATTTTTTGCATGTCACTCAGGACAATGTTCTTGACAACATATGTGAAGCTCAAGTTGATCGGAGGATCCGTTATTGTCAATATTTACCCAATAAATAAACTTTGAAACGTAGGAAATCTACGCACAAAAAAAATAAGAGTCCAAGAATTAAGAGTCCACGGGGTAAAAGTCCAAGAAACTCGGCAAAGAAGAGGGTGGTTCGAAGATTGACGTTGGACGGGTCGAGTCCGCTTAAATCCAAGTTAGAGACTTCAAAACGCGCGCTGTTTCAAAGTCCTCCCACAGATCGCGCCGGTCCCAGTAAATTATTGCATGCGAGCAGTGTGGATACTCAGAAGATCAAACGGGTCTTATTTTCAACGCTAAATAAGAATGAGACCAAACTCGAGGATAACAAACCGATAATTTCGAGAGAAGAAAGCAGAAAGAGAAAGTACGAGGACGAACTACAAGGACCACGAGTGAAGTGGCCAAAGAGTTTGTCCTTCGACTGTGCACACGAGCTGGAAAATACTTCAAAAATCGGATGGGAAAGACACTCGTCGAGCAATCTTCTGATGAAAACGACTGACACGTCCTTCAATCAAGGAAAAAACGAGCTCAGTGACACGCACAGAAAGGTTTTATGTTATTTCCTTTTTTTTGTTCGCTTCATTTATAATAGGTGTAATAACCTTGGTTTGTTTGTTTGTAGAAATTGTTTTGGGCAGTTACAGAAGCTTTACGAAGCAAAGGTATCGACATGAGTCATCCAAAGTTCAAGCAGTATGCTACACACTTGGCACGCACAATTAAAAAATACATGCCCGATCTCGAGAACAGAGATATTCCACGAAAACCTGGTAGTACAAGCGAACGCATGTTGAAGTTGGCTAAACACCACGTGTTGCTTCTCATTGACACTAGGCCGACCGATTGACAAAGTACTTGTTAGTATAATTAACAAAAGTTAGGAAATCGAATCGGTCAAGCGAATTGACGGCATATTTATTATTGACCAAAACACAGGTGCTTTCTACCTTCAACCAACGTGTGTTTAAAATATAATAATTTTTATGTGATTTGATAACTTGGAATATATATATATTGCAGTGAGATTTGAAAATTAAGATTATATACACTGTTTTATACTCTGTTTGCAGGAAGGAGAAAGAAATAGATATATAGAGTGAATTGTTTTTTTATTGTGTAAATAAAAAAGTGCGGTTTTTACTAAGCATAGTTTATTAGCTTTAAAATAGTCACTTGCGCGACGCGCATATTTCACAATATATATATATAACTTATAAATAATACATAAAAGCCGCTTTTTTTTTTGTTCTGAAGTAAAACACAAATAACTTGCAATAACTTTTTTACGAGTTAACGCATGTTATACATACATCAATCGTATCTAACATATGGTTTGTATTAAAGACAGTGAGGGACGTGTAAAAAAATAAAGACTAATCGCGCCATCAATCGCGATGTACCTTGATTTATTATTTTCATTCCGAATTTCCGTGACCGACCCTAGCAATGACCTCGTCCAAGATCTTCGCGAGCTCCTTGTTCTCCTTAGTTTTCTGTTCCACGAGTTCGGCCAACGAATTACTCTTAAGCTCCGCTTTCCTTATTATCGCATGCAGCTTTACCGTTTCCGCTTCATGTTGCTTTTCTTTCGCGTCTAACTCCAGATTAGCTCTGAAATACAACACATGTGTTGAAATGATATTTTAGGAAAGCAATAATTATTTTCGACTATAATTGCATTTTAATTATGATCGCATACTTTTCTAATTGAGTCATTGCGTGTTGTTTCAACTGTTCGTATCGCGTTTCTAGCGTCTTTATCGTTTCTACATTTTCCTGGACGCTTTCTTTCAATACGGATTCATTGCTCTTGTACACCGACACGACCCCTTTAAGTCTCTCGTACTTTTGGTGCACGTCGTTGAACGCCGCTTCTGTATTGGTTAGGTGGAGATTGGCAGCTTGCAGCTCCTCTTGCAATTTTGCCTTCTCCTGCTCGAAAGTCGTGCGATCTTTTTCTCGCTCCGTGAGCAATCTGCTGATCGATTTCTCGTATTCCTCCACAACAACCCTAGACGAATAAAAAATAAACACTTTGGTGTTTTTATTCAATTTAAACTTAATATTTTCGTAACTGTTTATATTTTTATTTTACTATTCTTTTCGCCGTGAACTACTTACGCCATTTGAGTCCTCGATTTCACTTCTTGCGCAACTTGTGTTTGCAGTTTACTAATTTTTTCCTGAAAAACAGTTTTCTGTCTTTCCAATTCGGCTTCGTGTTCCTTTTTCTGCTTTTCTAATTGTTCCTCCAATTGCAGTACCGTCGTTCGTACGAGTTCGAGTTCTTTGCTCATATCTATGTCAGCGATGAGCTGTGTATTCGATTTAGGCTCTTCCACTGGTTGCTCCTAAATAAATTTTATTGTTATCTCTCATGTGATTAAATTTTTAAATAAAATATTTTACGAAATAGTTTACTCACATTCTTTTCTTGAGCTTCCTCGCGTTTCTGTACCGGCGTAGTAGAAAGAGGACTATAAAAAAGCAATCTATCTATAGCTGCTATGGCAGGGTTACGTTTTGGTGTGCCGACATCAGGAGACGGCGACTCGGTTTTGCCATTTTGCTCCTCATTTATCGGCTGGACATTTCCTTGAGGCAACATATTGGTATTCGACACTAACGGATCGAATTTAACATATAAAGATTCTGTTCTAAGACGATGCGCGGGTATATTGTTAGAGGTACTTCGTGCTAACAAGAAATCGAATGTTGAGGGATCTTTAAATACTGTAAAACAAAAATTATATTAATTTAATCGAAACTTAAGCAATAAATTTGTGGAAATGGCTTCAACATTACTTATACTCACGCTCAGTTGTTGCACTGACGAACTGTTCTTCGGTATCTTCTGCAAAGTCTTCACTATTTTCCGCAGAATTGAGCAGGTCATTAGTAACCTTCTCTATAGTCGATACGAAGTCTTCGAAATTCGTCTGTTCCGTCAACGGCAATGTGGTACTTTGTCGCTGAGGTTTGAAATCTTCATATTCTTCTGGCACCAAGTTTAGATCTACTTCTTGCAACGTAAGCGTACGATCGAGATCTTCGTTAGATTTGTTTCTCGTCTCTCCAATAACACTCAATAAAGCCGCACCTTCTGCACTATTTTCTTTCTCTTTTACAATTATAGTTTCTGACGGTTCACATCGATCTTCTATAACACTTGTCTCGTTACATATGGCGGGTTTTTCCTCGGGTAAAAAATTTTGCGCTTTATTCGATACTACACTATTGCTTATTTCTAAGTCTTCTTTGCAAGTTATTTGCACGGTTTCTTGTTCCACAATAAGTGTCTTACTAAGTGATTGTGAGCTATCGTGTGACGTGATATAAGTATCTGATTGGGATGAATGTTGTTCCTCGAGAAGTTCACTCTTTTCCGCTGAAACAAGGGAGTTGTTTTCAGTATGAGTTTCTAATTGGAGTAAATCCTGTTCCTCGATAACTTTATTTTTTTTCTCTGGAACTACGGGGTTGTTTTCAATATGAGTTTCTAATTGAGGTGAATGTTGTTCCTCGATAACTTTATTTTTTTTCTCTGGAACTACGGGATTATTTTCAATATGAGTTTCTAATTGAGGTGAATGTTGTTCCTCAATAACTTCACTTTTTTTCTCTGGGACTACGGGATTATTTTCAATACGAGTTTCTAATTGGAATAAATTTTGTTCCTCGATAACTTCGGTTTTTTCTGTTTGAACAACGGGATTATTTTCGATATGAATATTCGGTTGGGATAAATTCTGTTCCTCGATAACGTCACTATTCTTTTCCTTTAGAACAGAATTATCTTCAGTATGAGTTTCACTCTTTTCTGCTGGGGCAACGGGATTATCTTCTACTTGTTGCGACAATATACACAATTCATTGTTGGTATTGTCGGAAGATGACGTTAAGAGCGTATCTCGTGGAGGTTCCGATGAATCGTGCGCACTATCTTCTCTCGGCTTATTGGTGTCTTCTATCGGTGGTGCACTGGGTAATTTAAATAATAAAGGATTATCCACACATTTCGTTAACGAAGATATCGAAACGTCCACGGTATTTTCACACGATTCAGAATCGTTTACAAATAATGTCTTGGCACTGTGATCGTTTTCTACTGTCTGTTTTTCTTGCGATGCGTTACATTCTATAATGGTGAGATCGGCGTGATTTTCTGGACGCGAGCTAGAATTTTCGGTCAACGATAAAAACGACTCGTGCAACGGGGAATCTATTTCATCAATCACTTGGGTGTCATCGCCGGGATTGTCATCGCTGAAAGAACAATCGCTCTCTTGGAAAGGGGTCTCATCCGTAGCCGATTCGAAGGTCTGATCCTGACTGAGTTCGTGAGACTCGTTTCCCAAATTGATCTCGGCGCACGCGAGTATCAGATCCTCCACACCCGGTATAGAAGAGTTGACGTAAGATGTGTCCGCGACGTAGTCCGCAATTTCGGGCGCTGAATCCGGGCATATACCGCTGCTGCTCTTGGTGCTGAGAGTACTGGTGAGGCTGTGGAAACTGCTAGCCGACGAGAGACTCTCCGGTGCTGGACAGAGATTCTCCGCGACCGGACTTACGTCGGCGAATTCGCGGGTGAAACAAACCTTGACCTCATGCTCCGCAGCCGCTTTTGACGTAGAATTGTCGCCGCCGCTCTGAAAATAGAAAAGACAGAATATTTCGCGTCCTCTTTTCGTGCGAACATTACGAATATTTGCAAAACGTTCAGCGCAAACGTTCACTTTTGAGAGTTCTAAAAAAAAGCCTAAGGCAAACTTTTCTCAATCTACACACACACAAAGCAAACAAGAATTAATATCGCGCAAGAAGAATTTTTTAGAAAACGCCCTCGGAAGTGCACGCGACGCAATATACCGTCGGCGTGGGCGAAGAAGACGTTCTTGGGCTCGAGCTGGCACGATGCAGAAGTCTATTGATATATTCCATGTCGCGCGTCCGATTAAAGCCGATGTGCAGCCTGCGAAAAACCGATGTTTACTGAGGAGTTTCTCTTGGGAGTTTTGATCATATGTCGCACCAGATCAGCTGACAGTCCGAGGTCTGGCAGTTTTCGTGAAACAAATTGCGCAACCACCACGCGCCTCGCTCGAGCTAATTATAAGGCCTCTCAACAAGAGAGAGAGAAAGGCTCCGCGCGGTCGTTTCTATTCTGTCAGTTCCCGCTCGCTTTTGCGAGAAGGCGACAGGAAGTAACCTGTCTCGGAAACGTATCACGCGGTGTTCTTTGCACCGTAGAAAAAGAAGAATCATCTGAAGTCGTCGGATCAACTCGAACCGCCAGGGTGGCGATAGAAACGCGGCGATCAAAGAAAATCGCGAAATCCTCGGAAAAAGATAACGCGGCAATGTTTTTTTTCCGAGAAATTGTGAAAGTGAATGAGCAAGAAGAAAAGTATTTTCTCTCTATTGTAACGCGCACACATTAGTAACAATAATAGAAGCCGCATTTCAATTGTGTCTTACTCTAGCTGAGAAAAACTACTTGTGACAATTGTCACGTGACGAACGTGACGTTAGAGAAAAAACGGCGACTAAGCAAAAACTCGGCTACGATTGTTACCTTCAAGAAAAGATTTCCCATGACTCTTGAACCTTCAGCTTTCGGCTGTCAGTAACGTATAATGTGGTCCCATATTAACGCGCGAGTTCAAGAAACCCCGTGGTGAGATGGTTTCAATTCCCCTCCTACGCTTTTACCTTTGATACCGTTACTATTCGCCGAAAGAACGTGGTCCGCGTACAAACGATATCGAAATTAAGGCAAGTAGTGATTAAAAAAAAAAAAAAAAAACATTAAATTAACGCAATTAACCAAAATGATGATGATGATGATGGTGATTCCTACTTTATAAGTCTACCAATCAATCGGTAAATAAAGAATTTTAAAGCAATTTGCACACAAAAATTCACAGAACAAACGCAACGAGTCAAACCTTAAATTGTTTCGAAACGATTTACTGCTTTAACGATCTTTCTCATTTGATTTCGTCTTATTTATCGGTCGACCAAAATGTGAACATTTTCGACCGATGTCTCACTTTCTCTTTCCTTTCAATAAATATCCGAAACATGACTCATTAAAATCTTTTAACAAAAACATGCACTAACGTAACCGATTGTTTCGCTCGCAGAAATCTGTCTTGGTTGGCACATTTATTTACCTGCGGAAGTGAACAATCGCATCGCCAAACAAGAGACACGCAAGCGCGTACGCTACTTTTTTTTCTTTTCGCAAAACGAGGTCAGTAAGCGACGAGCATAATGCGGACGATCGAGCGTAATTCATTAGGAGACACGAGTCTCTCGCGTCTCCTTATTCGGTGCGTTCTTAACATCATCGAGAGACGCGACTGTCGTCATGGTGTGACTCATTCTCGTTTAACCGCACAACCGACAAAAGCTCCGGCACTTTATCTCTCGCGGGGGTGTGTCTCTTTCTCTCATCCCTGTATATGAAACAGAAACAACCCTCTCGTTAGCGCGTTGACGTGTTCGAGTGCGCCACTTTAAACACTTAGATATAAGCCTCGAACGTGAGGAGGTGCGCACGGAGTTCTTATCGGAATTGCATTGCGTCGTCGAGTTGAATATTGACCTTCGTAAGAAGATAAAAATGATGTCGAACAGAAAATTATCGAACGATTATCTCGACGTGCGATGTACAACACAAAGATTACAACACAATTACATGTCATTTACATTACATTAATAAACGGAAATTACGAGATGCAGATATTTGCGCCGACCATGTAATAACAGTCTAATTTGCGTCTAATTACAGAAAAAGATGAAAGAAATAAAAGTGACTTTAAAATTAAACACGATTAACTTAAGAAACGCGAGATAAGTGAAACAGATGGAGAGAGATGGTGATAAGACCGCACGACCTTCCTAATCAATTGTGTGAAGCTCGCGCTGACGCATCTTCAGCGTCGGGGAATTCACACGATGCAAGGAAATATTTCGATAACACAGCTGCTCCGAGGAAGAGGGAGAGTGAGAGACGCTCAGACGCCAAAACGGGCCCGGAATTGGGGCCCTGCGGCGGCAGGTCAACGTCAGATTCTCTCGATCGAAATTCTAATATTAGCTCCTAAGTCGCGCGCGGGTTCCCCAGTCGATACTCGAGACACATCCACCGCCACCTCGTTCACTACATCTACCTTACCACCTCCACCACAATCTCGGGCGCACTCGGAAGCACGTAATGTGCATGTGCACGCACGAGGAATCGCCGATGAGGAAGCGAAAAAAAGAGGAAGAGAGAGTGACAACCTGGTGTGGATTAGAGTCGCTCACCTCTCGCGTCAAACGTTACCACGGCGAAAAGACTTCCTTGTCCTCTTCGAGGAAAATCCTCACACGACGACGTTGCTTTTTCGTGAAGGCTGCGCCGCGAGTATCATCACCTCTGCCGCGCCACGGTGACGCGCACTAACGCTCGCCGCACCGAGCTGGAGTACCGTCCAGCCGCGCACACGCCGTACGGACATTATACCGCAAAGATCACCAACTATGGAAGTAGTGGGAAACAGGACTCTCTCTCTCGACCATCAAGACGAGTCGCGAGACCCGTGCGCGAAACCGGCGTGGCGCTATCTGGGGCGACGCGGATACACTCGGTGATAGAACGTCGTTAGATAAGGCAAAATATCTGGCCGTTTCATGAAAAATCACGCGTTTTAGCATCTTTCACTTATTTTTACAATTTTATAAGTTTTTTCCTTATTTTCTTGTCTTAAAATTAAGTGTCAGGTTCGATTAACTTATAATTAAAGAGAAATACGAAATTTAAAGAATGACACATTACGCGGCTCCAACTCGGAAACCCATACACAAGAATGAAAAAAAAAAAAAGAACATTTGCTATTGAAAATATTTTAGTATTTTTTTTTAAGTATTCTAGTACTTTTCTCAATACTCTAATTTGTTACACGTGGAAAGCCTTATCGTTCTGTCAAAAGTGACTCAGATGATTGCTGTCTGGTCGTACCTGGCGGCAGATTGAGGGACATCCATACGAGCAATGTCTCAGTGAGATAATTTACATCAGCACTTTCCATGCTGTGGTATTTCAACTTTCACGACAACCCACGTTGCTGGCGTTTATTTTCATTGTTGTAATATGTCATTTGCGAGATTGCATCGCGGCACGGAAAGTGAGAATATAATAGCAGTGCGATAATATAGGCGATAAGCGGACAAATGATTACAACGCTGCGTTTCTTTCCTCGTATTCAAATGCGAAGCACGTGAAATGTACGTATTGTATCAATATTTTGGTTACTCCGCCTGCGGCGAAGAGATGCGCAGACGACGTTCACTTGTTGATATTCCGACGATTGGGAAGACGACAAGTCGTTTAAACTTTGTAGATTTCCTTCAGAGCCGAAACGTTTCCATTTAAAAATATCCTCCTCGAGTATATTTTTTCTGTTCCACGTTCTGTCTTCGTCAAGTTGTACTTTTCCCTGTACATACTCGGATGATTTTAGTTTACTATCTTTCGTTAAAATCTCTCTAAAAATGTTTAAAATAATTTTTGAATAAACTGGAATAGAGTGCGATGAACAAAATTATTTCTTCAAATGAATTAAAGGTGTGTGTGTGTGTGTGTGTGTAAGACTTAGTGAGAAATATTTTTGCGAGTTTTTAAAACATTCTCAAGCTTATTCACGCGTTAAAACATATCTATATTTCATCTAAAATTGAAGTTTTTGCATATACAATGCAGACGAAGGCGAATTTACATATATATGAAATATATTCAGTTATCGGCCGCAGACCGAATTAATGAGAACAGTTTTATTTCGCGCACGTAATACACACAAAAAAAAACTAATCACGACTTTACAATTAATATCATTTTACAGTTATGTCACGGTCAATCAGTTTTTCGAGTCCAAAATTAATTCAAACCAACGAGTACAATGCGACAAAGAGAACATTTTTGTTTTGTAATTAAACATTGAACAAAAAACAAAACAAATTTTGAGGTTTGATACATCTTTCTAATGTCTCTCGAAAAAATCAATTCCTTTGTTTAAAATGTAAAAGAGCATTTCTGAAGATTAGCGGTAAACCTTCCGACTTGACTTTTGGCAGACAAATCCACGCGTCGTTCTTCACGCGAGACGTCAAAGAAATGCTTCCACATGGCGGGAAGCAAAACTTATTTTTGTTTCAAGGTACTCCTGGAGAGATACGGAGTTTATTTATAGGAATACATTCTCCGGCCCGACTGTCAGCTGCGAAAACGCGAAGAGGAAAGCGCGAAGAAGGATGAAAGCAGAAGTTATGGACGATAAGGCTGGGTTTGGTTATCACTATTTCCGTACAGCCCCATATGCGAGCGAATGTGCGAGAATCGAAACGCGTTCTCTCCGCTCACTTATTCTCATCGTTGGAATGTTTCTCTCAATTAAAGACAAAAATGATATCAATGATGAAAATTTTGGTCAATTTTGTTTACATTTGGTTTACCGCAACCGCAAGACAATTCTCATCTGTTTTATGAAAAAGTTTTGTTTAAATAACAAATACCTACCTTTCGTCGCAGGGGATGAATCGGCGGCGAATTGTGAAGTGTCGCAGTTATTTCTTTCAGCACAACTCTCGTACCCTCACGATTAGATCCTCCGATGCTCCTCGGGCTCGACATTCTTGAGTTTCTTTCGTTACGCCAGAAAAATCGTTGATCTCTCCTAATACGAAATTGTTTTTATTTTAAATCTTAATCTCAAACACAAATGTAAAATTACACTAGAATTTGTAGCATTTGATTTCTTAAACAATTTTATATCTCTATCTTATAAAATCACACAAGAACGTCATGTGACACGTGTGATCTTCTCGAGAAAAATCATTCTTGTTCACAATGTTCGCAAATCGAAAGCTACTGATAAAATTTTACAAATCTAATCGTCAGGAAGTAAAAATAACCACTTTACGTAAAGTTCTTCCTAATCGTCTACGAAACATCGGTTTGTTTTGATGTGATTCTTTCTAATGGTTTTTGAACCTTCGTGATTTCACACGAAAAACGGCCGATTACACGATAGAAGAGACGAAGGTTCAAAGGGACCAAGAATTCCACTTACAATGGGGAACGAGACACACTCGGGAAACCGCCAAGTTGCACACTCACACTTGCGCAAACGTCCCTCGCTCACTTCCCCGGGGGAACAAAGGACAATGTCACACGTGCGTGTTCACACCTGTACTTATCTCACTCGGGACGCATAGACGCGGGATTTCAGCGAACGCAATTGGATTACACACGTCTGCATATATCCTCAATTATTGTACAAACATACACGAGACCATCGGTTTCATTACACGCAATTCGCGAATCACTTGACTAACGGCTGCGAGTCGTTTGACAAACTTGAATGCGAACGCAGCGGCGAATCACAACGCGCCGTTGCGTTTGGCGATGCTCCGCCGACGGCACCACCCGCACGTTCCCGATCGCTCGGTAAGGCAGTACAATCGAGCGCGCCGCGATACTAATCGATTGTCGACGTTCAATTTGAATTAAGCGGGCCGCGTGCGCGCGCTCGTCGCGCCGACGTTAGATTTTAATTTACTGTTTTTTTTTCGATCTATCACTTGTCTCACCTGAGACGCGTCGAGCAATCTAATCGTGAGATTACAAATACAAATAATCACTATTTTCCCGGTTGAGATTTCGCTCTTTTGGAATGAAATGTTTAAAAAATATCGGGGAAGTTTTCAAACATCCCATTAGCTTTTTATAATCGCCAATAAATAAATTTATTATGGAAAAGAAATGGAAGATAGATTAATTTAAGAAACAAGAAACGATATTAGGATATCAGGGTTGCGCAAGAATTTATTGTCAAACTCTTCGTACAAATATGTATAAACCTGCGTCACTATATGCAGGACAGTGCAAATCCACGAAAAAATTTTAATGCTTACTCATTAACGATTATTAGTCTTTTTTTGTTTTGTAATAACGTACTTTCTCTTCACATTCTTCCATTCATCCTTCATCATTCGTTCTCTTGATCTAGCATAAACAAGACTTTTTTTTTTTAAACATATATATATATATAGACCTTCGAAAATATACATGTACATAAAAATATAATCTATATTCGGCTCGATAAACGCGCTGCCGTTAATACATTGCATTCCGATAAAGCGAGTCGTATAAAAGAATACTATTCACAATGCTCTCTGTAACACCCTCGAAAGGTAGAAAGAACTGTTTTGTAAGGACACTTTTGTAAGGCACGTTTCTGTTTCATTTCTTTTTGTATTAATATGAAATATATAAAGGGGATTGAGCTCTTGAATCTGTTAATATAAAATTTAAATCTGCCTATATATTATAATAGAAAGAGTATACAAACAGATATAAATAAAATATAAACAGATAAAAAAGAGTTTTTACTGCAGCGGATAAAAAAATAAATCACAGAAAGTAGCCATATACATACGGCTTTTATTTTAAGTTTGCAAATGCTTGGATACTTTCTCTCGACTTGTATGTTAATAAGGTAAGTGATGTTTGAATTAACTAGTTATGCTATATATTTTATGTACGTTCGAAGATGTGTAATTCGATAACTTGTACTGAGTTTTTTCTTGTCGCAACCGAAGTACGCAATCCGGGATGCGATCAATCGGGAAGTATCTCGTATTATTTACATTAACACGGGTCAATAATGTCCAATGTGTTTTGCTAAACATATCATTATTCCCATACTTGTACATACGGTTATATACTTTCCGAGGTACGTAACTCAGGTTTTTTTTTTTTTTTTTTTTTTGCGCAAATCGTTGTTGCACGACTGCTGGATAACTTATGGTCGGATACTGAATATAAAACAATTTACCGTATCGTAGCATAAAGCGTACGTGAATATTATGTGTAAGGCTGTAACTGTGGTGAAGGATACGTAGGCAACGGAGAATTTTTTTGATCGCTGGACGGAGGGGTCAGAAGCCCGCTCTCGTTCGGACTCTGCCTACCGGACTCGGCGTTCGCGTCCGAATCGTTCACATAGTCGCTCGGGACATTCCGGGTTAATCGTTGCTGCGCCTTCTCCAGCATATTTAAATCAACCACATGAGTCTGTATACGATGCGACTCGTCTACAACAAGATTAGGTACGGTGGCCCTCAGTCCAGATCCGGAATTTGACTCGATAGACGTAATCGTGGACTTTAGCAGAGATTGGGACTCCTCTTCCGCGACGATAGTGGCGAACGGCGTGAGCCACTTCACGCAAGGAGCAAGTTGCTCCCATGTGAGCCGGGATACCCTCAATGCGCATTCCCTGCCCTGTGTGTGATAAATCGCCGCTGCAGCAATGTAGCTGTAAGAGAATTTCAAGCAACCTTCGTCGAGAGTTGCCAAATCCAACAGTTGGGCTGCTTGAGAAAACTGCAGTCCGCCGTACTGCGGATATATGAAGGTATTCGGTCTGGAAGAATCGCTTGACTCGATTTGCATGTAAACGTTTAACCATCCCGGAGCGGTTATTGGGGACAAATTCCACCCAAGTCCTTTCAGAATTAGTAACTCTTTTCCCAGAATTTCGTCCTCTGTGCAGGCACCATCAGTGACGTATGCAAATTCCGCAATTTTCGGTGGATATATTTCTTCAACCTGCAAGAAATTTGATTTTTATAAATTTTTCAAATATTTCAATAAAAGTACGCGTAAATGTAGAAAAGGATAAAAAAAAAAAAATTATAAACCTTGGACGCAATAAAAAGACAAGTAATTCCTATAAGTTGCAACTGATTTTTGGGTACTGGCTCATTGTGAAGAGACAAGAATCTGTCTATATAATCCATGGCGAGATAATAAGTTTCTCTATGTAGTTTGTACACTTCACAGACTTCAATTAACCAGTCCAACAAAATTGCCCTCATCCGTGGCTGCAGTGATGGATGCTTTTGAAACATGTCTGGATCTCTCTGAAGTACAGTCTTATGATCTCCAAGACACATGTCGGACCACACCTGGGAGCCATCAGCCCAGGGAAGAGATGGTAATGGACTAGGTCTGCTGGATGAGCTGTTGGAAGCTGATGGTGTCAAGAAGCAGGTTGCACTTCTCAATTCGGACCATGTGGCTGGTTCTTGCTGTTCTTTTAGTGGAGATGTTTGATGCTGAAGATTGCATGCAGTGTCTGCTGATTGTGTAGTTTGACAGGATTCTGAATATGAGGTATTGGACAGTGTTGGCACTTTATTGGGTGGATAAATGTTTTCCGAATCCTCTGGGATTTCTGTAGCCCGCCTCTTCCGCTTTAAGACCTGTGTCTTGCTTCCATGCAAATAAGTTTTGTTCTCCTGCAAACTGAACGCACAAGAAAGGTTCTTCTTTCTGTTACATAATATTCTTTAAGACTGAATAGTTGAGAGAGTTTGTAGAAAATGAGCAAAGTAAAATGCCTCCAAAAGGCAAGACAGACATATTACTGTTAATCAGTGTGCAAAGTTTCAATAGCTGCGAAACATTTTTTAAACGTGACATTTTATCAATTTGCAATTTTATACTGTGAGTACTGCTACTGAAGTAAAGTAAAATTCACCGCAAATTCCCTTCGTACTACCGAAAAGAACATGGAAAATTTCGCGGAAAGAAGTCCAAAAGAAAAAGGTTATAGAGGCAAAAATTAAGCAATGTTAGAAAAAATCAATTTTTAATTAAGCAGTCGGCGTGTATCGAATCGATTTCGACATACGTGAAATAATATTGAGATATCGAAAGCGAGAAACAGCAAAATTTTTACGCCAAATGGAACATCGGCCGACTCACCTCTGTGGCATCGTGCTCGTAGAATTGTCGACGTGTACGAAAAATATTTGCTGTCGGAATAAATTTTCTCAAAGTGTTCCTGATAGCGGGGACTCTTGGATGAAGCGTCCGCTAGATTTTCCCGATCCAGGCACGACGATTTTTCCAGGAAAATGCGGAAAAGTGAAGGAGCGCGCGAAGCTCACGAGCATCCGATCGCCATAATGCACGTCTCTTTTGGCGGCCTTTGATTCGACGTGTCGACTAGCGATTTTCGTCCGACGTCTATTTAAACGATCGGATAATTCATCCAGCTCTTTTACAAACCGTTTTGCGATGCGCGCGAGCCCCAAATTACCAATATTTTTAATAAAAAACAGAGGACGTGGATGTCAGAGCGCGGGAGTCCTGCGCGCGAAACAGCGACCAACCCTGAACCCCTGGCACCTATTGCGACGCCCTCTATATGCGACACATAACCTCAAAAAGGGGCAGATTTTCGAGGGTAATCGTGGCGCATCTCGTGCAGGACACTGTTACGATACCTCGGCTCCGACGTGCTTCACTTTCCTCACGATGGTGCGGCTTTTTCCGACCGTACAAGGGCGATCGTCAGACCGACGTCTTACCGGGAGCGAGTCTCACGTTTAACCACCTCGTGAACGCGTAATATCGCCTCCTACGGGAATAACAATCGTCGTCGAAGAACGTGCGTCTCGCGTTGCAGGCAGGTGCATCGGCTTTACATCAATACGCGCGGTAAACGGAAGCGGCGACAACCCGCCGAAGCCATGCCGCGAGTGTCACGCACATCTATGTTTCCCGCTCGATTCGTCTCGTCGAATCGGCCTCCGCGATTTTCACACAAAACCACACGTTTAGACGACGAACGGACGCGTCGAACGGTTGCACGCGCGGTTGCACTCGCCCACGGAACAAACGACAAAACTTACGTGAACGCGGAACGTGCGTACACACGAGCGTGTCTGCGTTCGCGCGCGCGGCAGTGCGTACCTCTTTGGCGTTTCGGAATCGGTGTGTTTCGCGGGAACGCCGTGGAGATACAGGCGCCTCCGTTGTGCTGTTACGTACGTCGGTGATTGGCCGGGACGCGCTGCACAGCTGGCGCTCAGCTGATCCGTCACACGCACACACGCGCGCGCCGATGCACACGAATGCACTGCGTTACGAGCCGCGACGAGCCACGGGCGGGAAATATGCGCGCGTAAATCCTTCGTAGCCCGGACTGTTTCGCGGGCTTTTCCTGCTTCCGCAGCGTACGATTGTTCCGGTCGACGAGGACACGGCTCTTGCCACGTACTCAGCCTGGTGTACCTGGTTCGCGACGATTACGCGCCAAGATCGCTGATGCAGATATTGCGAGTTGTATCGATCGGCGATACAACGAATTTTTGTTCCACTTGGCGAGATGTTCGTCGAGCTTATTTAAGACGTGTAATGTTCTCTAGATGGGTTTGCGTGATCTATTTTATCTAAAAGTTAGTTAAGGAGTTGAGTGCTTAATAAAAACAAAAAAAAACGACTATATCGACTAACTAGTGTAATGTCAAGTTAATAAGGAAAAAATTAGATACATTATTAATTAGTAACATTTCTTGTATTCTATGCACTATTTATAATATACGACACGCCCACGTACATGTTTAATTTTATTCTTTTTGTTTTTTATCTTATCTTAAACTAACGAGAAAAAATAAAACATTTCTCTGACAGTAATATCTTCAAAATTGCACTATAGATGCGCCAATTGTTGTCTTTCTAACAACAATGTTTGTTTTTTTTCGATAGATTTTGATATCAAGGGTTTTTATTATTATCAGTCGAGATGTTTTCGGTGTGTATATTTTCTATACTATTGTACGGGTTTTTAAATGTTCCCGCGTTTTCGTTGACAGTACTGTTTTACCAACAGATACTTACGTCACGAATGCAGGGATGTTTATAGCGAAGATTTCTTAAGGCAGACTGTTCGCCCCTTTTGATGACAGAAAATTTTCAGAAAATTTTGATCGAGAAACGGGGCGCCCGTGCGAACTGTCCCAGCTCTGGTTTTCTGGAAATCGTCAGCGGTCCGGGGCCATTAAACGCGTTATATGTGTCTTGCAATTTGATCCTGCGGCGCTCGGTGCGGTGCTCCGATCGGAGAGTAATTTACGCGAATTCCTGGGCATCCGGGTCCCCGGGACCTCCTGGGTTTTCTTCCCACGCCCGATGCCACCGTCGCCCCGCCGGTGTGACGTTCCGTTGTCGCGCAGCATCCAACATTCGATCGTGTCGAGCAACGACGATCACCAGGAAGACAGTGCACACGCACACATAAGAGCATTGTCTCGCCGAGTCTTCGGTGAGTATTCGAGACGCGTCGCGTCGTGTCCGACGAATGGCACGAACGCCGATTTACTTTACTCGCCGATCGGCGAGCGCAGGTGTCAACAATGACAGCAAATTGCGCTCGTCATGTTTATGCTCCAGTATTTCTATGCGTATAGTTTTCGATATTTTATCTCCAGAATTTTCCTGATATATTTTTTCTCTTAACTTATAGAAATTTCTCGATATTGTTTATTTATTTTAAGTCACGAAAAGAGAAAGAAATTTGTAAAATTGATACTCAAAATATTTTTAAGTACTTTTTAATAAAGAAAAATTCTGTGAAAAGTAGAAACAACATCAACAAATCTTGTATTTTTGTAGTGTACATGAATGCAAGTTTGTGAGTAATGCAGGGCATGATGCCAGTTAAGACAAAATCTCGTGTTCCCGAAAATATGGGGGTCACAGGTGGACTGGTAGATGTTCGTGCTAAGCAAGTTCTAAGGGAGGCTGTAGACGCTGTTGTTAATAGTTTTGCAAAGCACAGTCAAGGTTATGGCAGAGGTACAATCTCGCTTTATTTTATTTGATACACTTCCTCTTTCTTTCTCACTTTTTTTTTTAGTTTTTTCTATAAAATTATACTGTATTATTGACCTTGTTTGTCCAGTAAATGTTGTGGAAGCATTGCAAGAATTTTGGCAAATGAAACAAGCTCGAGGAGCAGAGCTGAGAAATGGTGCGTTAGTTATTTATGAATCTGTACCTGGCGCGAATCCACCTTACGTTTGTTATGTAACACTTCCCGGAGGATCTTGTTTTGGAAGTTTCCAAAATTGCCCCACAAAAGCGGAAGCGCGCAGATCAGCTGCGAAAATCGCATTGATGAACTCAGTTTTCAATGAACATCCATCCAGAAAGATTACTGATGATTTTATCGAGAAAGCTGTTGCAGAAGCAAGAGCTAGTTTTGCAAAACCATCGGCAACATCGAACGGAGTGGGTAGTCAGGCGCAAGTAAGCAAACCATGTACACTTATCTCGTTGAATCGTGACAAAAATGTTTGCCAACACACTTGTGTGTTTTTAGGGAAACGGTGATGAAAAAGAGGATCCGAACACGGGGATAGGTGCTTTTCGTTTTATGTTAGAGTGCAATCGCGGTAGAACAATGTTAGAGTTCCAAGAGCTGATGACGGTCTTTCAGTTGCTTCACTGGAACGGTTCTCTAAAAGCCATGAGGGAGAGACAGTGCAGCAGACAGGAAGTGGTCGCACATTACAGTCACCGCGCGCTGGATGACGACATGCGTAGCCAAATGGCGCTGGACTGGGTGGCCAGGGAGCACGAGAGCGGCGGCGGCGTCGTGGCTATGGAACTTGCGCTAGCCGAGCGAGAGCTCGAGACCGCGCGACTAGCCGGACGGGAGCTCAGATTCCCGAAGGAAAAGAAAGACATATTGATGCTCGCTCACGCGCAAGTCTGTCCGCAGTAATTCCGACGCGAATGTCGCCAGCCTAAATACGAGACCGCAAGACTGGTCTTCCGCAAGAAATAACAATAGTCTTAAAAAGAAGAAAACAATATTTCTTTGGTTGTTTTTGGACAGTTTTACTTCTTTTTGATACGTTGAATTTATTTTATACGGCATAAATTACTCCGTCCTTTTTATAAATCATATCTCCTTATAGTGCTTTTCTCTATAAAGCGTTCGTGGTGATAATAGATTTTAAATGGGATATTTTTATATATTACGACAAAATAGGAATATATACTCTAAGTATATGCAACTGCCATTAAGTGTTAAAGATATGCTATGTGCTAAAGAAACATTGGCATTTATACGTATCAAATCTAATTATAATTCTTCAGTGTATATACGTTGGGAAACAGCTTTGTCTTCCATTATATATTCATTATATATATATATATATATATACATATATATATATATACATTTTGTACAATTACTAATCCTTTTTATCGTTATCAGAGCATACAAATGATAGAATGCTGTTTTGCGCAACGTTTGAAAATTGAAAGTGTTGATAGATAAGTAGAGTGTGCGCGCACACACATATGTGATATTTTCAGAATAAAACGAACTTATAAAGAGTTTTTAAGAAAAAATTTTAACATAACGAGCTATGCAAACAGGGTAGATAATGTAAAAGTAATGCAAAAACTAATATAAATTGACTTTCGGCTGTATATGTTATGTACTTAATTATATTTAGTTATGAAATTTGAGAAATGGAAACTTGACTTATTCTGAAGTAGCTTCTTTTTTTTTTAAGGTGACTTCTTTCTGTTCAACGACATGTGTACTTCTATTCCGAGAATATTAACATGATGAAAAAGTAAGCAATTATATTGTTCCGATATTCGTACATGTACTGCTGTTACAGATTAGTATATTTTATATATTGCACTCTGAAAAGGGTAATTTGTCACTTTTTTTATAAGAACAGTTAAATAGGATATAATTTATGATTGTTTTATAGTTTATATTATTATTATTAAATATTGATACAATTTTAATACAATTTATTACATTGTAACAATAAAATGGAACATGTACCCGTAATATTTAAGACTTTGCTGTCACACTCTCTGTTTTCTCTGTCGCGTCTTTTGTAGTTTCATCCTGCATAGGATGCGCTAGTATTTTGTCTATTAATCCAAACTCCTTGGCTTCTGTTGGGCTCATATAATTATCCCGCTCCATACATTTTTCTACAAAATATACAAATTTGTTTTAACAAATACAAAAATGTAACAAAAACTTCTTTTCACGTGACAAAACAAAGTCAAATACCTATTTTTTCTAGATCCTGCCCAGTGTGTTTCACATAAAGCTCATTTATCTGTTTCTTCAGTTTGAGAATTTCCATAGCTTGGATTTGAATATCCGTAGCCTGGCCGTGCGCACCTCCCGATGGCTGATGCGTCATAATTCTGGCGTTTGGCAGAGCATGACGCATGCCCTTGGTTCCAGCTGCCAAAAGCAAACTGGCCATAGAACACGCTTGACCTACGCACCACGTGGAGATCGGAGGAAGAACGTACTGCATAGTGTCGTATATTCCAAGTCCGGCTGTTACAATTCCACCTGGTGAGTTGATGTACAAGTGAATTGGATTTTTACTGCTTTCTGATTGAAGAAAAAGAAGTTGAGCAATTACTGCAGAGGACACATCATCTGTAATCTGTAAAAAGACATCAAATATATTAGTTTAGATAAAACATTATATATTATTATCTGTAATATAATAAATACAACAAATTGCATCATACCGGACCCATAAGGCATATGATTCTCTCTTTTAAAAGACGTGAGTAAATGTCATATGCACGTTCTCCACGGCCGCTCTGTTCTACTACAATAGGTACATAGTTTAAATGTCTGCTGATCATTTTATGTCCACAAGCCTGAAAGTTAAAGATAGAATAACAACTAACAAATTTAGAATTTTTCAGAGATAACTTGTTTAATAAGACATACTTACAGTGATTTGTAGTACACTGTTTATTTTTTGCAACATTTTAACAGATAATTGAGAAAGCACTAACTGTTCATATAATTATATTTTCAATAAAAAAACATCACGTAACGGAACGGTTATCTTGTTTAGAGACAAGCTGGATAACTGAAAACACTGTAAGGTGAGAAATACAAATAAAAGTCAAAGTATGTATCAATATATAACCTATTCTTTAATAAAGTAGTGATTATCCTTATATTTGATTTTTCTTATTGTGTCAAAAAAAAGTTCCTACTTTTATATAAATTATGTTTTACTATTTGAAAAATATAGTTTCTTCCTTGACCTTCACAAATCTATATCTTGTTTACCTATTTATGGTTGGTGCATTTGTGGCTCGTGGACTGAAAGGGTAGTCCATACGCCATTTATCTATTTATCTTATTTGTGACAGCACGTGACGTTTTGCTGCCGCAGCGTGCTGCTGTATGAAAAGATACCTTAAGATTTGAGAAGCGACTATGAATTCGAGCCTTAGTCTTCTCTCTGGTAAGAGCCAATCACATTCGATTGTCATAAAGCAGTTTCAAGCAGTTTGTTCCGATCAGCTGCTCGTCTCATTATCGCGCTGACACAGTACTGAATTGCGGAACGCAGCTAAGAAGTCTGTAGCTTCACCAGGTTGACTTTGACTTGACAGTACCTGGTCATTGTTGGTCATTGTTGAATGTACTGATGAGAACTTAACCTGTTAGAAGTCTCTTCTGACGTTTACCTTGAGGCAATTCCTGTCTTTCCGATGTTATAATATATTAAAAATGTTTATTAAAGATCTTTCACTCTACACGTTTCTTCACAAACAGTAATTTTTTCTCTTTTTGTTTTGTCTTTGGTTTTTTTTTTTTTTTTTTTTTCTTTTTTTTTATAGTAAAGTTCTCTGCAGAATTGGGCAATTCCGAAGTCTTGAGAGTAACTTTTGCGCGTTTTTTGTTTTCGACGAAAAGGCGGTAAGGAACCAGCCTCTTTCTGGCATTTATAAACTTGATACAAAATTAGGCATGCGGTTGATGCATGCTATATTGTCAATTATAACGAAGAAACTCTTTCGAATGAGCGTCTTATAATTTCTCTGTGTCTACCATGAGTGAGGAATGCAGGAAGATAGTGACCAGATTCCATCCTATTCATGGTGAGAATATTCGTTTGTGCGAGGACAGTACAGTAGCGGTGCGCACCACGAGTTTTGCCAACTCGGTGGCTTTCAGTGAGAAGCCACTACAGCCAGGAGAGATCTTTCTTGTGGAGATAGAAAAGACTGAGAGAGGATGGAGTGGACATATGAGGCTAGGGCTTACTTTGATTGATCCGGATTCGGTCAATCATAGCCTGCCTCAGTATGCTATGCCCAATTTGGTTAGATTAGGCAATACATGGATTCTTGCTATAACGAGAAATCAAACAATTTGGGATAATTTTGTTGATGGTGGCCTGCCGTGCACATATACTTCTCTTGCTGGTTAGTATCTGATACATAAAATATTTGTCTAGCATTTTGTTGTTGCAGTGCCCAAAGAGAAAAAGGAATATTTTGAACATATCACTTGAGATATTTTTTATTTTTCAATAACTAGAGAAAATATTGAATGAAAATTTATAAAATATTTTTGGTAATTCTGTTTTCATATATTGCTTTACTTGGTTTTAAATATTTCCAAAAAACCATTAATAGAGTGATTTAATAGTAAAGACTAGACAATCATTATAAGTAACATCTTCTTTTTCTTTATACTACAAATTGTCACACAAATAGCATTTATGCTATGTTTTTTTCTTACCAACTAGCATATATTAGCAGGCAGTAAAGAAGCATAACAGATTAAAATGCTAGTGTTTTATTTGAATAAATTATTTTATTAAATTTTGTTTTCTAAAGGTAAGTCACCAGGAATACCAGCTAGAGAGAAAAAGTTAGTCACAGATGGGATCAATGTCCAGACATCACGTGGTGTTATTCCTTTTAATGCTCTAAAACCTAACATAGATGGTCCTTCTCAATGTATCTTACCTACTGATGCTGGTAGTCGCATTGGTATTATGTACGTACCACAAGCTGGATGCCCTGACAAAGCTGAGATGCATTTTATCATTAATGGTGAAGATCAAGGTGTATGTGGAAAGGATATCCCTTATAAAGCTGGTCCCTTGCGTGCAGTGGTGGATGTCTACGGTACTACAAAACAAGTTCGAATAGTTCAGTTATATGGAGGTGAGTGTTCACATTATATTGTATTGTTCTAATCAGTTTTAACATCAATTTTATATTTCAGTATCGACACTGCAGAGTGCATGCCGTGATGCTATATTGCAGTATACTAAGAGGAATGCGGTCAATTTACTCCCTCTGCCGAAATTATTGAAAGAATATCTGTTGTATCAATCATAGTAAGAACTGATTCATTCCATTTGTATACGCTTTTTTATACACTGTTTGTGAAATTTTGGTTAGTTTTCTTTCTCTCATTGTCCAATACAATTTTGTATACAGGCATAATATATATACTTATTTCTATAATAAGAATAGAAAAGATTGCATACTTCAACAAAGATTTTCTTTCATATATGGATATTCTATTATGAAATCAGTCAACATAGTCGTAATATACTATTCTTCTTTTGTGGTTTAATTGTTCTTTAAATGGTCTGTCTTAAGAGAAAATACTGAATTATTAATGTGTACATAATGTAACGAAATGTTGATTGTTGCAGGAACGCAAAATTCTGTGAGATTGTAATGAACATTTAGTTGTAAATATTTGGAAATAAGTATTTACACAATGTGTAAAATTTGTATCTATTTTTTGATTAGTTATTTGTTTTTTTGATATCTATTCAGATTCATTTATTATTACATGATAATACAAAATTTATGTTAATACATAAATTGTTTCTGAAGTAATGAGAATGAATGATATTAATATATAAAGTATCTCCAAAGCAATGTTTAACAAAATAAATGTGTATTTATAAAAAAAAGAAATTATTTCTCATTTTCTCTGGTTTATTAATATTTCCTCGTTACATACGCGCACACACACACACGTACAAATTATTAAACATATATATATATGAAGATATGCACATACACACTTATTTATCTAATATTTATGTGGCCTAAACGGATGATTTGGATCAAATAACGGTGGGTCTTTAACATATTCCGGTTCTTTTGTCCAATAACCCATTAAACCTGCATAATATAAGGTTTACATAATGTAATAAAAGTTTGTTTTCTTTCTCTTAAATAAAAAAAATGCAGTAATTGTAACATATTTACCAGCACTTTGAGCTTTTAGAATCTCTTCTTCTACTCTCTTTTGTTTATATTCACATAATCCAGTGATGTGCTTTCCATATATTCTGCCTGTGTGGCGACTTTGAAACTGTGAAAGGAACCTTACATTTTTATAATCTGGTTCTATATCCAATTTACATAGAAGACACTGACGTTTTTCCTTTACATAAGGATTTTCAATACTTATGGGCTACAATATAAGTAGAAAACATAATGTATACAGATGTGTTGTGTTTTACACAAGCCACATATATAATTTGTATGAAGATATACCTTATCTTTTTCTATCGAAGCAAGATTATTCACTAAACTTTTACTTGTGGTTTGTAAACGCGATGTGTAAACTTTACTGATAGAAGAGAGTTTACTTCTTTTTAATGCAATAGAAAACATTTTAAGATTGATTACAAAAACAAGCAAACAAGCACGAGTCGAGTACGGTTAAATGCCACCATAACCATAAATTTGTTCGCTTTAGGCGCTCACGCGCTTTAAATATCAGCAGTGATCAGCAGAAGACCGAGAAGACTGAGAGAGTGAGAGCGGCTACGACCATCGATCAGCTGTTATTGCTATTCCGCTCTGTTTGTCAGCGCTATGACCACAGTGGTGCACATAGGCAACTACGTGTCCAAGAGCGGTTTATCGGTGAGTGCTATGCTATATACGTACACGCATGTATGTTCTTTTCGGTGTTATGTCTACATTGTGTGGTTCTATTTTGTGACGTATCGGTACTTAAAATCTGCATCTCAACATTCAAATACATGAGGCAATGTTAGTTTGTCAAGAAAGAAGACGCATTAAAAAAAAAATATTACACACAAAATTAATATTTATTTATTACTGTTATTTCATATGCGACTAAAGCACAGTCAAACCTCTCTATTCTTGACAAGTCAGGACCAGATTTCCTTTGTATTCTTGCTCTCTTTCTCCGATATATTCTATAGAAAATAACGAGATCAGAGGAGAAATTTGGTCAAGAATACAAAAGGAGAGCAAGAATATGAAAGACAAGAAGAGATTTGGCTGCATTTATAATTCAAAATCATCAGGATGATATAATTCACTAAGCAATCTGTATATGTAAGATGGTGCGTTTCCACCCCTAAAAATAAGATAAAAACATTGTTAATATGAGGTATATGTTATATGTTTGTAATTAGAATGCAATTTCGATATATCTTACGTGTTGGAAATAAATAACGTGACCAGATCTGGCGGAACATAATCAAACACAGGATTATACACATGTATCTTCTCTAGCAATGGCGCATTGGTACTGTCAATCACACCTTGCATTGGTGAAATGTGTTGATTGAAGTCATCCTGCTTATATGAACAGTGATACAAAGGCGAAAGTTTATAAAGAGGCAATAGAACCATCACTGGAACTGAATAATGTTTGGCAGCTTGGGCGACAATGTGAGCTCCCGAAATTGCTCTGAGTCCACCATTTGCCATCACGGTATGCGTTCCGATGATGACCTTGTTGACTCGTGACATCATTGCGAAAATTGCTGCGTCTGATATCAACGTGGTTTTAATCTTCGCGTTGGCTAGATTCACTGCCATTTCCTGACCCTGTAACAAATAATGTGATTTTTTGTGTATACTTTAATAAGTAGAATAGTAATAAGTAAAAGTCTTGTATGTGTGACATATACTTACACTCAAAAATGGCCCACCTTCAGCCACTATAACATCAAAAGCTCTTGAAGCAGCAGCCTTTTTAAAGAATTCTTCTACTAACTTGGACTTTCCTATAGTCATGATAATTTCGTTTGAATGTATGTGCTCAGAAGCTTGTTGAGTAATGTTTTCTGAGCTGCAAATATATGAAAAAGTTTCTTACATGTGTGTACATAAAATATTGTACATTTTATTATAATTTTTCACACATATATTCAATTTACTGAAGTCCTCAATAAATATATATTCAAACATAACAGAGACATATATTATTAAAGTTATTATTAATTTTCTTAATCAAAATGTACTTTATGCATATTATATAAATAACTATGTGACTAACCAAGTTTCCAATTCTGTTTCAAATTCAATTATGTGTTCTACAAGAGCAGATTTAAGAAAAGGCACTGACTTATTGAAGTCCATCTGTTGATCATCCTCAGCTGTGAGAATTTTATGTAAGGACTCCTTAGGATCCTTTTCCTCAGTTTTATTCTTTAATTCTGAAACATACTCTTCTCTGATAATTTGCAGTATTCTTCTTACCATGTTTCCAATGCAAGCTTCAAGTGGAAGTGTCTCAATTAAATATTTTCCATTCAATCTGATGACATCAATTAAATTTCTGCCAAAGTCAAAATTAAAATGTAAAAGTTTAACCATTCTTTTAGATAAAGAGAAAAAAATTGATACATGTCATAATTCATACTTGTTACAACAGATTTAAAAAATCATACTTTGCTGTGTTCCATTCAGTATTGCTGATTAATTCCTTGAATAGAGAAATGATAGCTACTACAATATTGTGAGCACCCTTTATTTCTCTAAAATATAAGACCATGTGTGTTTAATATTTTATGGTTAGATATCATTGTTATAAATTAGATAACAAATTTTTTACCCATGTTGAATATTATTTGCCATTTGTAGCACATTTGGATTAATATTTTCTGGTGTTAGATTAACCATTTTGTGTTGTCTGTGTTGATATTTTCTCAAAAAAATATGATCTTTGCAATTATAGCTCTATAGACCTACTCTATTAGTCCCATTGAATAAAGAGTAACTTACTCTTTATTCAATGATTAGTCCATACGCCAGTGTCTGGTTGCATTCGGAAACGTCACTTGTGTGTATTTTGGTGCAAGTATGGCTCTTGGACCGTAAAGATTAGTTCACACGCCATTGTGTGTATTTTACTTTATTACTCATTGGATATAAAACAAAGATAAATAAATACAAACACGTGCAATTCTTCTCATATGGATAAAAGGATAGACTGTGAACTATGCTGTAAACTAGTGCAGTCAGTGCAGGAAATAAATCTATAGTGACAAGCAAATATTGGAAACGCAACCTTTAAAAGTTGTTTTATGTTTGCTACCCTGATCAGATTCTCTAATAGTGACAAATCGAATGGTATGGTTGGTTATGCTGCAGGCTAACCTTTCGAAGAAGCGGAGTGGCAAATTTGCGAGCGCAACAGCGTTTGGATATTGCATTCATTTCCGACTATTTCCACAATTTGCTTACTTTTTTCGATAAAGAGAGCATAAACAAAATCGCACCAGTGGTAAATATTCCGTCAGAAAAAGCGCGACGTCTCTATCGCATTTTCGATTGTGAAGCAAACCTGGCCATTAGTTTTCACACAAGTCGTCGCATCATTGTAACTGCTTGTTATGTGGTGGTGAACATCGAAAAGGGTGAGTGTGTTAGTTCCCTTTTCATATACTATTTTTTACTTGTAAAATGATTTGTTTGCTACATCTTATTCTCACGAGAAGTGGGATATGGTTACAAAAAATTTCGCTTATACTATTCTTCCTCTTTCTCTCCCCTTCCCCCTCCTTTTCTTAGTGTCCGTCATTCTCTCTCTTTCTCTCTGCCCTCTTTCTTTTTCTTTCAATGAATATGAGTCGTATATCACAAGTTGTAACGGAACTTCCGTTGATTTCAGTTGGCGATTGTCTTATTCAGAATTTCCTTTCTTTGATATTTAAATTTGGTATTTAATTTAGTAAAATGTCTTTACCTAAATATGTTGCTATTGTTTATCTTGTTTTTATACTGCACATAGTAATCTTCAGTTAAAAAAAGTCTGGATAAATAATGAGTAATGTTCAAATATATAAATGTTTTCTCTTTTCCAAGTGTAGGTGATGTTTTTACACACTATACTTTTCAGATAGGATTATATTAATTATTATTTGTGATTACAGAAAACTTGTAGAAAGCAATAGTAACAGTGACGCTCACACGACAAGCGTTTAGAAACAGAATGTCTGGACACAGAGGTGGAGGAGCTGGAGGTCATCAAAATGGTCCTCCTGGCCTCAAACAGATTGATTTAGATCAAATTTGGGGTGATTTACGAGAGGGTATAGAACAAGTTTATAAGAGGCAGTGTATGTCAAAACCAAGATATATAGAACTCTACACGTATCCTTGTTTACTATATTTTTCTTTTTTTTTTTTTTTGGTTTGAAAAAAAAGCAACATTTTGTCTCATATTTTTCTTACAAAATTTCTATAGACATGTATATAATTATTGTACAAGTGTCCATCAACAAATGTCTAGAACAAGCACTAAAAAAAAAGGAGGTCATGTTCAGCAAGGAGGTGCACAATTAGTAGGATTGGAACTCTACAAACGCTTGCGAGACTTTCTTAGGACTTATCTTATTAATTTATTAAAAGTAAAGAAACAAAACTTGTGTTTTTGATCGGAGCAGAGTAAAAACAGAATCTTGTAATACAAACAAATTCTTATTGCACACAGCATGGCATTGATTTAATGGACGAAGATGTGCTCCAATTCTATACAAGACAGTGGGAAGAATATCAGTTCAGCAGCAAAGTATTAAATGGCGTATGTGCCTACCTTAATCGTCATTGGGTACGCAGAGAGTGTGAAGAGGGACGAAAAGGAATTTATGAAATTTACCAACTGGCTCTGGTTACTTGGCGAGATAATTTGTTTAAGCATTTAAACAAACAGGTAAAAGAAATTTATCTTTTGTGTAGATATGTGTATGCTTACAAGAGGGGAATGTGTGCATATTTATTTGTGTGTGTGTGTGTGTGTAAAACAAATGTTTGAATAGTCTTGTTATCATTGTAAACATTTGTCAATATTTAAAATTATTATTAATTTTTTGATGTTTGAGTTTTTGATAAATAACAAAATAATAACAATTTAATTTGAAGAATTGAAACATTGTCGTTAGTGATAAGATGTTATATGTATTAGTGTTGTGTATTTTTTTAGGTTACCAATGCGGTGCTAAAATTAATCGAACGAGAACGTAATGGTGAAACAATAAACACTCGATTAGTCAGTGGTGTTATTAATTGTTATGTAGAATTGGGTTTAAATGAAGAAGATCCAGGTGCTAAAGGTCAAAATCTGACAGTATATAAGGAAAATTTTGAGAATTCATTTCTGGAAGATACAGAACGATTTTACACTCGTGAAAGTTCAGATTTTCTTAGGCAAAATCCCGTGACGGAGTATATGAAAAAGGTAAAGAAACACATACCAAGTGGGATTTATCCATCAAACATAAAAGAATTATGTCAGCAGATTTGCGGCATAATCGCACTCACAAAAAATGTGTCTTCAGGTATGTGTTAGCAGAGTTAACTGATATTTGACGACACATGCCAAATTGCCGATAAAACGAACGAATTTTTCAAAACAATTGTTTTTTTTATTTCGATAGATGTTCTCGGTTTTTGTTGCCATTCTGTCAAAATTGCAGTTGACAGATCTGCTGACAATTTTACTGCCAATCTGTTGTTTTTGATCAAATTTATCAACATTTTATCGAACATTTCCTTTTTATCCTTTCTTCTTGATTGTTTTTTGTGAATAATTCAGGCGGAACAAAGATTGTTAGAAGAACAAAAGCGTGTGCGAGTTTATTTGCATCAGACGACTCTCGAACGTCTAGCGAAAACCTGTGAGAGAGTACTTATCGAGAAACACTTGGACATATTTCATTCCGAGTTCCAGAATCTGTTGGATGCAGATAAAAATACAGATTTGGGCAGAATGTATCAATTAGTAGCGAGAATACCAAATGGCCTTGGAGAGTTAAGAAATCTCTTGGAAAGTCACATTGCTAATCAGGGGCTTGCAGCCATAGATAAATGCGGCGACTCTGCAGCTAATGTACGTGTGTTCTCTTTCTCTCTTTTATTTATCATCTATCTACCTTTTTTTTCTATTGAAATTGCATCGCAATCTTACCTCTTTACATACTGACTTGTAATACTAATTGTCTCGTTTGTAGGATCCGAAAATTTATGTAAATACAATCTTAGAAGTACACAAAAAATATAACGCTTTAGTACTAGTTGCATTTAACAATGATAGCGGCTTCGTAGCAGCTCTGGATAAAGCTTGTGGACGATTCATCAATAGTAATTCAGTTACAAGAGCAGCGAACAGTAGCAGTAAATCACCAGAATTATTAGCTAAATATTGTGATTTATTGTTGAAAAAGAGCAGTAAAAATCCGGAAGAGGCAGAACTCGAAGATACTCTTAATCAAGTTGTAAGTGTTGCTGTATATATTTCCAGGTTTTTTTTCTAAGTTTACAAGTATTCTCAAATTGAAGAAAAAAAACTGTCTAATTATTGTTATAGTTTCATTTTCTCTATGCGCAGATGGTAGTATTTAAATACATCGAAGATAAAGACGTATTCCAGAAATTCTATAGTAAGATGTTAGCCAAACGATTGGTGCAACACATGTCTGCTAGTGACGACGCAGAGGCTTCTATGATCTCTAAGCTAAAACAAGCATGTGGATTTGAATATACTTCCAAATTACAACGTATGTTTCAGGTAAACTGTAATGTGTCATTTGTTTGCACATAGTTAGAAATCAATTTATTAATGTGCACAAAATCTTTCTGTACTATAAAGAACTATTGGTGTAATAACGTAACGGTTTCGTAGGATATCGGCGTATCAAAAGATCTAAATGAACAATTCAGGAGACATTTGACAAATTCCGCTGAACCTTTGGACATAGATTTCAGTATACAAGTATTATCTTCTGGTTCATGGCCTTTTCAACAATCGTTCACATTCTCTTTGCCAACGGAGGTAAAATATATCAACACAATATTATATTACTAATTTATTATATATATTTAATGTATTATAATAATTTTGATCTTATTTGAAGTAAGTAGATAACTCCGAAAATATTGAATTCAACTACTTGGGAAGTAAATGTTAATGGAACACATAATCACAATTAGTGTGTCAAAATTTCTTTTTATTAATCACTAAAACTAGTTTCCTTACGGTAATTTTTAATTTTTGCAGTTAGAAAGATCTGTACATAGGTTCACCACGTTCTATAGTTCGCAACACAGCGGCAGAAAGTTAAATTGGCTATATAACATGTCTAAAGGCGAGCTACATACGAACTGTTTTAAGAACAGATATACATTACAAGCGTCAACTTTTCAAATGGCAGTTTTGTTAGCATACAATGGATCTACATCATGGACAATACAACAATTACAATATGCTACACAAATTAAAATGGATTTTTTACTACAGGTAATAGAAAATATATTGTATTAGAAATTCTTTGCATCTCAAAATAATCTTCCAAAGGTAAGGAGCATTTTATTTTAATTTATGGCCGTGAGTGCAGGTATATTTTATATAAAAGTGACGAGCGAAATATGAAAATACTAAAATTTATTTTTTGCCGCAGGTCATTCAAATACTTCTGAAAGCTAAGCTTTTAACTGCAAATAGCGACGATATAGCTGAACTGACGCCATTATCAACCGTAGAACTTTTTACGGGATATAAAAAGTATGTATTTTTTTCACATATATAGGGCGTTTATTACAAATATAACATTTGATCAAAAAATATGGATTTCTATTTGATAGCAAAAAATTAAGAGTAAATATCAATATACCTATGAAAACGGAATTAAAAGTTGAACAAGAAACTACACACAAACACATAGAAGAAGATAGAAAACTTTTAATTCAGGCAGCAATTGTTAGAATTATGAAAATGCGGAAAGTATTGAAGCACCAACAATTAGTGGCGGAAGTATTGAACCAATTAAGTTCTAGATTCAAACCAAGAGTACATGTTATCAAGGTAAGAAAACAAATTTTGTTTATATAATAATATTGTACACTGTAGTTTAGTAGTCACTCGCTTTTTTTTCGTTTTTTTAGTTTTGGAATTGGTATTATTGTGGATGTTCCCCGTCCATCTCTGGACATAAATCTATTAAATACTTACTTATTATTTACACAAACTCTTATTATTACATAAACAAAACAGTTTTAAATAAAGTTTTTAATAAAAAGTTCTTTTTTCGACCCGTATTCAAAATATCCAAAGTTTATAAAATTTTATCTTTTACATATAATACTGATTTTTTTCTTTCAGAAATGTATAGATATTTTAATTGAAAAAGAATATTTGGAACGCACAGAGGGTCAAAAGGACACTTACAGCTACTTGGCATGATCAGTCGATTTAGGACAACGATACAACAACACTCATGTATGCAAAAATAAGATAATCTTACATTGCATTATACGTATCACAATATTTATTTAAGAATTTTCAATGTATAATTCTCCATATATTTTTATTCTGTACATGTGTGGATGCCTTTGTACCTTGTCTTTCTGGTCGCATTTATAGAGACTGGCTTTACACACACACTTAATGACAATTTTATTAACATCTTGATATATTATTTCTTTTATATATATACAATAGTAGTGATCACGAGATTGTCTTATCGAGACCGATCGTGCTCGCGGTATCTGCTATTCATTTAAGAGACATCAAAACAATAATGAAAAACTGAAGAATAAATTTAACTGTTCGTTAGAGTCAAAAGTGTAATTGGAGTAAGGATCATCTCCTACTGGAGTCGACCAATAACGATAAGCCAATCTCGAGGATAAAAATCAGGACAACCTCGCGACCACTATTATGTGTGTGTGTGCGCGGGTGTGCGTGGATATGTATGTGTGTGCGTGCGCGCATGTATGTGGGTACATACATGAGATATTAATAAGATTATTTCATACAATTATATTATTATTAAGAGTCGAATGTGTGCTAAATGTGTTACTGCCTGTGCTAGTTCTCATATGAAATATATTGCTTCAGCATCAGAGTAATAGCACATATAAAAAAACTTTAGCAGTAGTAAGCAAATTAATCAATCACAGGCCAGTATTATCGCTCACGTGCTTTAATGTTGGCTTGTCATTGGTTAGTGTGTTATTTGTTCTAGGCTTTGCAGACTGTGTGACACAGGATTTTCCATTATATCCATAGAAGATTAATATATACATATATATTACAAAGCTAATATTTAAACGCTGGTGTTTTGTCATTTTATAAGTTGCTAAGTTTAATATTTTTTGACCTTACACAATTCAGAATATCAAAACTCTCGACTACTTCTTGGTAAAGTAAATTTAATATTGCTTTTATGATGTCAGAAGCGTATGTGAAAAAAGTATAAACCACTTTTTACTGTGTCCATTATGTGTTTTATCGAAAATATTGTAAATTATAGTTTAAAGAACTGTATGTGTGTACATATACGCTTTATACCAAAATATGAAATTTAACAAGAAACACATCATCGTAACAAATCGTTATGCAAGCACATGGATAGTAATACATTTTAGCAGAAGGAACATTTGGAGCTAGAAAATTTTATGTCAATAAAATGCAACATTCTATATTAAAATTATATTTTTATTTTAATAGGATATAATTTAATCGTAAATTGTATCTTCAGTAGAATGTTATGTATATTTGTGAAATTAGAATACAAAAAATTGGATGACACCTCGTCAAAAAAACATATATATTATAGATGTTAACTAACAATTTATTATATAAACTCAATATCTTAAATTCAAGAATATTGAAAATTTTGAATGTGCAGATTGTCTCAAAAATAAAGGTAATCAATATCATTATCATTGAACTACGGAGCACGCACAGGGTTTGAGAAATAACACAGCGAATCGTGATTAAACTTTTGGATTTAGATGATTATTAACATTTTTATTAAATCAGAGTGTTGAATTTGGTATTTTGAGTGCAATAGAAAGATAGCACGTGTATGTTGTGTATGAAGTGATTAAAAAGAAGGAAAGAGTTAAGCGATAGTTAAAAGAATGTAAAATTCATTTCATTTACTCGCTAAGTTTCAAGTCCTGAAACTCAAGTTTGTGACACGCGATGATTTCTTTTTGTGCTAGATCGCATATAAGCTCCAGAATTGTCCAATTTGTGATTTTGAAATCAAAGAATTGGTTAATGTGCATACGATTTGCATATACGATCAAGCACGAAAAGAAGCATCGCGTGCCGTAGACTTGATAATTGTATATAAAAACGAAGGTGGACACCTTCAAGACATTTGAAATATATATCACAGTCATAGAATATTCTGCTATTAACATTTTATCATCGCATATTGTCAGTGATTAAAAAAAACAAAAAAAAACAAAAAAAAAGACAAAAAAAAACAAAACAAGCTAAATTGTAATTAATGGCATTATTAACTGACTTGCCCACAGGGTAAGTACCAATATCTATAGTTGCAAAAACATATAACTTGATGTATTTTATTTAAAAAAAAGAGTTGTACCTCTCTTTCCTTTCTCCCTTTCCTTCCCTCCTCTCTGTCTCCTCTCTTTCTCTTTGCGAGAATTTTTTGAATCACGAAACCACTATAATATTATTCAACTTGGGTTGTGCAGATACGGATATTAGGCTCTATCAGTCTATATCCCATATACTTGTGATATGATATATTCTCGCTCTTCAATATCTTTATTACGCAAATGACTGGTTACAACAAATTTCGCGAAAATAAGTTTGTTTGTTTTTGTAAGAGTTTAGACATGTATATTATGCTCTTGTATATGTATTATGATACACATTAACTAGGCTAAGATTAGATTTCTTTATTGCAGAATAAACAATTTATGAAATATTCATATATCATTCAAAATATATATTATATAGTGCGTATGTGTATATAATACACACGCGCACTATATGATACATATGTATATATCTTTATTTTAAATTCGCATATAGCTTAACATTTCGATGTATCGCGACTGTAAAAACAAATGATGAATATATTTATACCTACATTAGTATACAGTGAATTTTGATGCTTTGACTTTCTATATTATATATATATATATATATATATTATTTAAGGTCTGTTGTGTGTAGAGTGTTGTTTCTTGCACGAAAAAATGAGTTATGTAAATAAACTGAGCAAAACCATTTTAAAATTATTAAAAATATACAGCAGAGTTCCCCTTGACTTAAGTTTTCAAGTGAAGCTAATCTTGTCTTACCAGCTACATATGTGAACAGCAGTAAGAAAGATTCGACACAATAAATGTTTTACATACAATATATCAAACCTGCTGTGGCTTCCATGCCAATAATTTTGTAAAATCTTCTTTCATTAGACAGATTTGTCCACTTGTTAGTAAAAATACCTGTTTTAAAGAGTTGTAAAGCAACGTTAAAGTATAAGTTGCACTAAAAGATACTTGAAAGTAGAAAGAGTTTGCGAGACAAAGTACACACATTTTGTTTTTTCAGATTGTCTAGAAGTAACATTTGCTTTTTAAGTACTTGCACCAATTCTGATCGTTCCTTTTCCAAGTTTTTTATAGTGAGTTTTTTGTCTTCTTGCAATATCCTAATTTGATTTCTCAATTCCTATATATGTATAAATGTATGTAAATATATATATATATATATATAAACACACACACACACACACACATATATATATATATATATATATATATATAGTAAAAGTATAAATTTATGTATTTTAATTAGATATTATACCTTCTCTTCTATCTGATTATATTTTAATATGTTCTTAAACTTCTTATTACTTTCTATAGATCTATTTAATTTAAGTTCATAATTGGCCACTTGTTGATTTAAACTTTGAACTGTTTTGTTAAGTCCTTCTAAATCCTAAAGAATTTTTGACACATATAACAACACAAATTGTTATTTTTTAAAACAGACATAATAGAACAAAATATAAATACCTTCTTTAAGGCAGTATTTTCATTGTTCAATGCTTGATAGTTTAATAAAGTATCGGAATTTATACTTTCTAGCTTGGTGATTGTATCATTTAATGTCTCTATCTGATTGTGCAATTTCACTTGATTATTACAATGTTTTTTATTTTCTATTTCTACTTCTTTAGAGTATTCGTACTGCAAACAAATTATTTATTTTTGTTTTTTTTTATAAAGCTATTTGTCACCAACAGGTATATTTTTTTTATACTTTACTTTTACATTTTCTTTTTTCTCTACTGATATAAATATTTGTGTGCACTAAAAAAAGTAATTATGTGCAGTTGTAATAAAAAATTAGAAAAATCAAAAATTACCATTTTGTTATATTCAAGTTGCAGTGTTTGCAACTCTTTATACAACATATCTATCTTGTTTTGGAACAAAGCAATAATAGCTTTATTTCCTTTATCTTTCTTTTGTAAATTCTCAATTTCATTGTCTATTTCAACAGGTTTAGTTAATGACGCTCTTAATTGTTTGTCCACTCTTACAGTCTCTGCCTCACTCTTTGTCATTTTTATCACAGAATCTGATTGCAATTGGTTCATACTACTAAGTAAATTACTGCTGGCACAAGTATGTATAATTGAATCAACTTCCTTCATTACATCGCGTGTCTTATATTGAAGCTCACGATTTAATTTGCGAAATTCATTTTCTTTAATTGTTAAATTATTAGACATTTTTACAATATACGTACAACAGGTAAAACTTTAATAGATGATTGTAATCTCAAATTCAATAAAATTAAATTGTTTCTTGTATAATGCAAAATCTTTACGAACCCAAAAGCGTCACATGACAATCTCACCGTAGGCTATAGCAAAGAGAAGAATGAGAGCGGTCAAAAGCCCCCCATGAGAGTTTTTACAATCGCTTTTCCACTCCATAAACTAGCGCATGTCTCCGGGTGGTGCACATTAGCAACTACATAGCGATGTCCACAAGCGGCTTGTCGATACGTACGCAATGTCCAAATGTGGAACCAGAGAGAAGCCTGAGAGCGGCCACGGCCATAAAGCCTGTTCTACATTGATCGCAAGCGCAAACGCAAGGAACAGGTCTCGTAGAATTGACTAATCGTATTGATCAAATCAGCCAATTGACGAGCGTGATTGGTCAATTCTACGAGATCTGTTCCTTGCGTTTGCGCTTGCAATCAATGTAGAACGGGCTTAAAAGTTTCTGCGATAGCCATTAAAGAGTACTCTTTATTCAATGGCGATAGCTTTTCGTGGACATGGTTCTATTCCGTGCTATGAGACACCGACGTGCCGGGGATACGTACACAAGCGAGAACCGTCGTCATACATCGACATAATATATCTGCACTCTTCCACGAGCGCACATGACAAATGGTCTCTACTATGAGTGAAGCGAGTAATTTGAGTGACAGTGAAATGTTCGATAAACATGATGCTGATTTTAACATGGATTATCGCCATGAGATTGATAGTGATGATTCGTTCACTGAATTATCAGAAAGTAACATTAACGTAAGTGACACTTTACAATGTTGTTTTATTCCATGTATATGAGAATATGTTACAAAATCTTACTATATTATTTATTGTAGACAGAGAAAAATAATTTAGGAGACAATAAATATGTAGGTCCGATAATTGGAGGACACAGATTTGATAGAAAACTGGTTTGTGTTAAATATCCAGGAAATGTAATTAATGCGGATAAAGCTATTGAAACATTGGGTGGTATTACTTCAATATCCACGGTATAATGCAATTGAAATACATTGGCCTGCATTCTCATCTGACTTTTATTATTATACATATATATCCATTTAATTTATTTCTAATCAATAGTATATATAGAAATATATGTTTAAATGCATGTTTAGATGCATTGTGATACTGTGTTTCAATAAAAGTGAAATGAAAATACAGGTCATTATGTTTAATTCTTAATCTGTGTTTACATTTTTGCTATATACTTATCTTATTTAACAGACTGTAGATGCTGTCAATAGAAGATTAGAATTAAGGTTCAGACCTGATGATGGTTATAGCAAACCTGCTTGTGGTGATAGACAAAGCACAATTGGGTTTTTACTCAAAGTTAGATTAAAAAAAAGAGCAATGTGCAACACTAAGTCAGAGACTAGAAAAACAAAATCTGTGGATACCACAGATTTAAAACCTACTACATCCTGTATTGTTTGTAGCACAAAAGATCTTGGCACTCCTTTGTTAAAGGATGAATATATTAATAATCTATTTGATAGTAACAAACTAGAAGACAACAATCACATTGAAAACAATGCTAGCATTAACAATCAGAACGACATACAAGAGTGCATTAATAGTTTTGTGAATTGTAATATTGTTAAAGATGAAGAAAAAAGTTACGCTACGACTAATACTAAACATATATATGATTCATGCAAAGATCAAGCAAGAAGAAAAACAAACTTATTGCCTTTTAGTAATGAGAAATATGATAATTTATCCCAAGATATGAATTATGAATTGCCAGATTTGAAAATATTAGGAAAAGTTGATATTATTTTTAAATTTAACAGTACGTTTCTCGTTATAAAAATTATATTTTACATATTTATATATTTATGTATTTTGTTCTTTTACACTAATGTTTTTTCTCTTTTTAGATTTGTGCGATTTTCAATATGTACCAATGACACAAAACAAAAAAAATCCCCAAAAATTGGAATGTATATATAATTTAATTTATCCAACAGGAATTCCTTCTTATTCTTGGTTAAAGAATGATGTACCTTATTTTTTACCACCAGCTGCATTTACTAGAATGGATACTGTACAGCAATATATACCAAAACCTGAAATAAATTCTGACCTGGAGAATATAATAGGAAAAAATAAGAGATGTTCTGCAGGTTTTCCTAATTATATATACTTTACAACACCTGAAGTACCTAGTACACCACCAAAAGGAATAGAGACAGCAATGAAAGTAAAACTTCTTCAAAATTCACACTTAAACAAAGTGCATCAATTATTTGAAGAACGTCCGATCTGGTCTAAAAACGCTATTATGCACAAGACACAATTCTCATCCGATCAATTGAAGATATTGTTACCATCAGTAGCGTATTACTTTATGACTGGACCGTGGCGAATAATGTGGGTAAAATTGGGTTATGATCCGAGAAAAGACGTTAATGCGAGAAAATATCAAACACTGGATTATAGATTAAAAGCTATGCGTGAGTTATAAGTTACATATTTTTAAGTATATATATTTCTAATACATAATGTTTCTCCGACTCTCAGATAAAATATATAAAACTGATTTATATAATTCTTCCTTTTTTTTTTTAGATGGATTAGGTTCAACTGTCAAATGTAAACGAAATTATTTAAAATATACTTTACCATATAAATCGTCGCCTATTACTAAGCAGAAAGCTGCAATACCTGTTAATACTTCGAGTCAACCACAAACATCAAAAAAAGACCGATTTCTGCATGAAAACGTGTATATCTACCGAGAAGGCACAGTACCTCCTTCTCGGCAAATGTTTTATCAGGTTTGTTATTTTTTGTTTCATAAAGTGGTGGTCTATGTGCTTGTATCTATGTAGTGCATAAAAAAGTATTGTAAAAAATGTATATAAGAATTATAAATTATCATATTTACACTAATTTTGTTATTAGTATTGTGATGTTCTAGTAGGGGAGATACAAAATATGTTAGCGAAATTACCTGATCCCTTGCCTGGTATAAGGTGTCACGAAAAAAGGGGATGGCTGCCAACTGGTTTTGATGTACAATGCCGAGAAATTTTGAACAAACAAGTACGCGCTGTACTTAGAAAGAAAATGAACATTCCTGAGGATCGTACGTATCTATCTATAAATCACGTAAATCGTTATAGAAGTAGAAGTAAAATATTTTTATTATTTTTTTTACAGATCCAACGTCACTTCCACGGAAACGGAAATGTGGCATTAAAAAACTCAATACAACAATTAGGACAAAACAGAACAAACAAACGAATTCTACAAAGATTCAGTCAAACGTTCCCTCTACTCAACAGTCAAAACCTGAATGTAATTAACAAAGATGATTGCAACTTAACCAAATAAAAATTTAATATTTAAAAATCATAACTACATGTATAATATAAAAATAGTCTGAATACATTTTCTAATCTCGATTTTGTGAAAAACTTTAGACAATTCTAATATGTTTAACACGTTAAGCGCCATGTCAATCACTGGTGACTGACACTATACTTTCCGAAAACTTTTTTGCACTGGAACACGGATCTATAGCGAGAACCCTCTCCACGCCTCGATCAGACACGATCAGGCACGATGACTGAGCATGGTGGGGACCGGCAGAGTAAAGCTGCCGCAGATATCGCGGGCTAAGCGGAAAGGAAGACAAAACAGGCGTGGCGCTTAACGTGTTAGAAAAAATTTACATATATGTATATACACACAAAGGAGCAGGAAAATGAAGAGTAAAATATGTATTAACCTTTACATATATATATATATATCTTCTTAGACTCGTAAATTAATTTATGCAAGTAACCACTGTTTAGGTACATGATCACAATCGCTTTAGATGTCGAAGAAAATGGCCAGATAAAATAACTTCTTAATTTAAAGATGCGCCAATACTTCGACTGCAGCTATGGGTGGCGTTTGATCACCACTAAGAATAACCGGCTCGGATTCAGTTTGAACAATCCTGACAAGATTTGCATCCTTCTTCGAGGGTACTAGAGTGACGGTATTCGGTGTAATATTCGACTCAGCGCAATAACTTGGTGGTCGACTCTCTCTTACTCTGCTAGCGGTTATGATACTTCCCGTATTAGATCTATAAGTTGGTGGTGGTGACGATGTAGGCTGTAATCGGTCCAATAACAACAATCGAAGTCTATACTCCTGCATACTAGCCTGTAATATAAAATATAGTTTATATACATAAATAGTTATATATGTACATATATACACATATATATGAAGTTTTATATATTTATGTATATAAGATATAGATGATGACAAATAAATAAACCTTTAGATCGAAGCATCGTTTTAGATATAAAACTGACCTGATAACTCGGTGGTGGTGTTCTAAACTGGAATTCTGGATAGATCATAGCGGCATATGGATGTACTGGTCTAGCAGGAGGTATTCTGCCAGAAATACTTGCAAAACCAAATAAACTACCACAGTAGTTTTGGTTAGTAAATCGCCATGCCACTGCGCTTACAAACACTAAAAGTATTCCTATACCTAAATTAACAAATACATCGGAATAAGTTTATTATTGTACGTATTATTATCATTATTGTTATATTATTATAAACTTACAGATATTTATAAAGTACTTAAAATAATTGAAATATAAAAAAGCTCAACGAACTCTAAATGTTTTTCTAAATAAAAATTGACATCTGTCTGATTTCTGATTTATCCATGATTACATTGTTTCCTCGAGATCTTACATCTCTACGAGTATAAGTTACGACATCAATCTCTGTAGGTTACAGAGCGTTCCCCTATTGTGAGACATTCTGAACAGGTCGCAGGTTACATGTTCACGTTTAGAAAGTAACTCGCGAGCTCAAGTTTTCTCTCGTCCCTCCTCTCTCTTTCTCAATTCTACCGTGTACTTGGGCGTTGTGACACTGTATTCTTAACTGTGAGGGAGTGAGTGAGTGAATGAGTGAGTGTGCGTCTGTGTGAGTGAGAGAAAGAGAGAGATAGATTTTTTTAACATAAATTTTTTTAATAAAGACTTATAAATTTTTTTGTTAATATATGTTCTCTGATATAAAATAGAAATTCTACGTTGTTCAATTTTGAAGTGTTTATTTCCGAATTTAATTCGAGTTTCCACTTTAATATTTAGTTGTTCAATTTTGATATCTTCCTTAATTGTTTGAATAAACAAACTTTATGTGTATGTTTACCGGTCATGAATATTCCTACGAGGTGATCACGACCGGAAGCTTTAAGAGCGCCAAGAAGAGTGCCTGCACCGGCACAAACAAGACCAATGAATCCGACACCTAGTATAGACCAACGTACTGATGGGGAACCTAAACCGCAACACTGTTTTGGTACTGTGTTCCTGCAACACAAGGCGTTGTAAGATAGTGTCCAATTGTTGAATTTTGTTTTGCAGAGTACGCGTTCGAATAATGGCTAAATTGTCTAAAAGAAAAAAACAACTCACCTGCCAAAAGCAGAGACACTAGTAGGTACAGGAAACGGTAGTCCGAGACTAAGACCTCTGAGACCCAAATGCGACGGCGGTGGATGAAGAAAGCCTCTAGGAGGTGGCACTAAAGGCACTCCTAATGCAGTCGAAGCTGTTTGACAACCTGGCACAGCTCCGGGATATGTTGACGGTAAGGAACAGGATCTTAAAGCGCGACGATACTGTCTGCGTACTCGTCGCTCCCGTCTACGCATATCTCGGATACCAACATCTTCGATCTGATTTATCGATCTATTCGCGTCAATTGCCAATTCCGTCTGGGCTTCCGTCGAAGTAAAGCATCGAGTATTGTCTCGTGTTTCCTAAGACACAGAAGAGCTATCGACTTAAAGCGAACATTTCCGAAAGCGTTTTTACGTTGTTCGATATACTAAAACTTAAAACTTCAATTACGTTTTTTTTCTCAAAACTATATATTTGTTGAACTTATCAAGATTTCTCGAAAACCACTGAATTGCACAGTGCACGTAAGTATATATTGTTTATCGTGAGATCATGGAGTTTTTTGCAATTTTTTAAATCGCGATTTTTTATTTTACGTTAAAACCAAACAAAGATTTATCAAAAAATTTAATTCTTAATCATAGTTTGCCTTTTTCCTTGAAATTATTATTTAAAAAAAGTTCCAATTGCACGACATAATGGCAAAATGCTATTGAACTTATTTGTTTCAGAAACCATAAAAAATATTGACAACCGCTAAAAGAAGCATTTTTACGAAAAGGACATTTTTTTATTTTATATCTCAGCTAAATGTTAATCTTTTTTCTTTTTAATTTGCTGTCTAAAATGTAACCTGCATGTTAAAGTTCAATTTTTTTATCCCGTCTCCTCTCCTCTTTCCCCTGATGTTTCTTTCCCTTAAGAGGTGACATATAAAAAAAAAAAAAAAACAAGAAATAAAACGGTACTTGTACTCGATCTGCGTCGCTCCTCACGTTGTCCACAGCAGCACCATCGACGGCAACGACGCTCACAGGCCTCGGGACATTCAAAGCCTCAGCCATCGTGTATCCTTTCTACGGTATACAACAGTATGCAAGACACCTTTCCGTGTGCAACTCACGATGTGATCGTCTCTTCTTGATCTTTCCTTTTCTCCTTTTGCGAACTAGATGTTTCTCATTCTCTTCTTTGATCGCTTCTACTATTTTTACACATCCGGCTTCCACATCCATTCACTTTTCCGCTTTTTCTTTCGTTTCCTTTTTTTCTTGTAATGTCTCTCTCTCTTTCACCGTGACAAGAAGATGACCCGTTTTCTTTTATTCTTCCGTGCTCTACCTGTCTCGTTGACATATATACGTTATCTTTCTCTTTCTCACACACGACTTGAAATAAAGATGACAATGTTTCTCTTTCACTTGCACGATTTGTTCTATTCAAACGAGCATCAACGAGACATCCCGGGTGACATCGGTCAAACACACACAAGGCGCACACTTGTGCGATTAGAAAATGTGAATAAATTATCAACAAATCGCGATAGGAAAGCGAACACATATGGTAATACGTTCAACACCGGTTCTTAAACCGTCCATTTCACTGTCGAATTGCGTTGTCACTGAAACTAGAATCCTTCTCCGCAACGGAGTGTCCGTTCGTTTGTTAACGTGCATTTAATCCTCAGTATTCCGTCGCCGCCGACGCATGAGAACATGGTAACAACAATAGGAGAGTGAGATTCCACACATTACGACATCAATTTCTTACGATGTAATCACACGTTTTCTCGAAGACTCCGTGCGATCTGAAAATGAAAACGCTTTTTTTTTCTTTTTTTTTTTACGCTCTCCGCGCGATTACCCGTTTATGTATTCCGCGGAAATAATTAATCGGGCATAAGATTTTCCGTGTGTATGTGAGACCCAAAGATGTAGGGGTACTACGTTTATTTAATCGGTAGCGTTTAACTTTACTAAATCGATTCGCTTGAGAGCACACACGGGGGAAAGTACACAGCTTCGTGAACTGGAAGTTTGGCCTTTCTCGAGTTATTGCTTTATTGATTACTTCGTTTTTCCGTCTACACTAATTAATTGTTCATCCACACTTAAAACAAAACCTAATGCTTTCGACAGGCGTAACTACCGACAGATTCGAGTGGTGGTTTTGGCAAAAAAAACGAGAATTACAACCTTTGTCCATTCACCTTCTTCTCTACAAAAAGAAAAAACATAATTTCTAGTTTTTTACGTATAATTATCGTCCCTGTAACTTTTGTATATTTGTATATTATTTTTCATCTTTTAATATATTTTTATTCAGTATTTATTTCTAACAATTTCTTATGATGAAACAATATATCCATCAGTGATATAAAAATTGTTATAGTATGCGATTTATTTATTAAGAAGTCAAGGTACGGTATGTAATCGTTAAAAACTCGAAAAGGTTTTTTATGTTACTATAGCTTTAACTATCAAAAACATGGTCTAAGTCTTACATAAAAAGTTGAAAAAAAAAATGACAAAGATACGTGTAGTAACTTTAATCGTATTTTTCTGGAAAGCATTTTTTTAAAGCTGCTCACAACGTGTAATCTTCAAATTTACTCAAACTATATTCTTTATAAGATTTTCTATTAATCTATGTACGAGTTTGTCGATATTATACTTTTTTTTAATAAGAAAAACAACATTTTTGCGTAATTTTTTCTGCCAAATGTTATGTTCTCACAATTATAAAAATTTCAATACGATAAGAGTATTGCAAGCTTAATTAGCAAAAAACACTTGATAAATTTGTTTTGCAGATATCATTTTACACACTACTAAAATTTCTTTACCGAATAACTTCGTCAATTTTCTACAGTTGTTTTTAATGTTAATCGTCAAAGTCTGATATATTTATCAGTATAATCAAGTATGACCTTTACTTATTTATATATCTTTGAACAAAATTACAAAGTTCAATTTTCCAACCGATCAGCCTGTTCTAATCCCCTTAATTAAGCCTGCGATGCACAATGCTTTTTTTGCGCTTGCACGCAAGAATCGATCTATCGCGATTTAAAAATTGAAGAATTATATCAAATCGTTATAGCATCTCACATGAGATTTAACATGAATTATGTTATACAAAGCTCGAGAGAGATTGTCAATCGGGGTTTTTTCTCTATTTTTTATTTTATTTTATTTTTTTTTTAATTATTATTATTTTTTTTGTATAAAAGAGCAATTCTCGCGATTATTTTTCCACTTCCTGATGATACATTGCAGATGAATCTTTTGTTTGCGTTGTTGCTACATTTCACCACTGGATGTGCAATCAAGTAAATCGAGTAACGATTGTCCAATGTCGAAATCGAAATCAATAGTTCATTGTGGTCGCTCGTCTCGTGGACGAAACGTCTCACTTTGCTTAATTAAATCGACGTTAAAAAAAAGAAAAAAATTACGAAACTTTCAGTCTATCATTTTTCGAGTCTGAAATATAAAATATATATTTGTTCAAGTGTATCTTGTTTTACTGTGATTTTTTTGTATTATGGATTTATATTAAATATAACAATGAGAAAAAGAATATACGCAAAATATGTAAAAATACAAGAAAAGAAAGCGAAGAAAAGGAGGTGGACGTTACGTTTCAAAAATTTGGCAAGTGCTTCGAAAGCGAATAGATTAAAGACGCTAGATAAAGACGCGTGTTTCTACAGTGCGTGGTGCCCACGCACTGTATTCACGACAACGAACGGTAAATCAGGCGAGAGAGCCTTTAACCTGATTGGGGTCGCGGTAGTTTTCCCAACGGGCCGTCTCGTATCCATTTGAAAAAAAAAATTACTCACTCAGAAAATAGCTTACTCTTATATTTCACAGCAGCGCAACACCGATCTTTATCATTTTGGATTAACATCGCGTCAGCTTGACGATTAATTCTTTGTGTGAATCGATTTTAGTTACATCGGAGCACTGAAATTGCGTATAGTTTGTCAAAAGAATAAATTCACAAACGCATTTCACGACAATGAAGTAAACAGTACCAAGGTAGCGGCACCACTGACTCCATCGTTCATTCTACATTTTGCTCGCTCCACCGCTGGGCTTAGGCCTGGAGCACAGTGCTCTTTGTCTAACGCATAAGAGAATCAACCAATCAGAGAACTTTCCGCTTCCAGTTTGAGAAGGGAGATAAAAAGATTCTGATTGGTTTTTTCTCTGGTTCAAGTGAGTCGGAAATCATTTTGTCAATCTGCACATGCGTCATTATGTCTGTTCGTTTTACCTGAACTGGCCGCTCTAGGTCAGAGTTTATCTTCTTAACTCTACGTTGGAAAAAGAAGGATAAGCTCTGACCTAGAGCGGCCAGTTCAGGTAAAACGAACAGACATATTATATGGCGGCAAATGTGCGATAGGTGAAAAATCAGCGCGTGTAGAAACTTTGAGATTTGATGAGACTAGAGACGTTCGACTGCATGTGTTTTGTTGACATTCATCTTCTTACTTATGAAGCGCGAACAGACTGCGACTTTGATTTTAGGAAACAAAAAATACAACGTGCCACAAGGAGGGAATGATAATTATATAATTTTATTGTAAATTATGCGTTTTTTTTACTTTTTCAGTCCTCCGAAAACTTATACGCAAAATATCATCTTATAATATAACAACATACATTAAGAATTAAGTGGTAATGGCGTTCAGTGTGCTTTTGCAATGGATATACAAATAGCTTTTGCACAGCATAAACCTGAATCCCTTAATAAAAAATATTAAAAAAAAAAAGAAAAAGAGTAAAATACAGATATCAAATTACAAATATCTTAAGATAATTGTTGTGTATAGCACAAAAACTTCTCATTTTACTCTGAAACAGTAAATATCTCATTTCTACAACGTACATAAGTTTCTGTTGCCTCAAAAAGATTCTCTTAGTTTAGGTCTCTGCTGTGTACACCCTATTAAGTTATTTTATTAAAACGAAATAAAACCACATATTATTTAATATATATTATCATACATATATTGTATAAATTATATCTATAGTATAGAAGTTTCTTGTAAAATACTATATTCAAATCTCTCAAAACACATTAATAATAATAATAGATTTTCTGCGAAGACAACTCGAGCACTTTATCTCAAAAATTGTGCCGCTGTATCTAAATTACTTGATTAGATACGTATGAATACTTTCCAAGTGTTCTACACAATTGGACGTATCATACCCATAATAATAAATTCCATACACTTCTCTATATTTATTAGTACAGAGAGAGAGAGAGAGAGATAATAAATACAAAAAGTAGGTAATGGTATACATTATGTATGTTTCTGTACTAAAATTGTATTGCCTTGAACTTCTATTTGCCTATATTTTATCTTGTAATTTTGCGCGTGTCTTGATGATACTCTTCCATAAAAACTCTCGTAACATATATAATATAATATAATCAATATAATATATTATATTATATAATGTTACGAGTTATAATATATTATATTATATATGTTACAATATAATATAATATATAATATAATCAAAACTATTATCTTATAACAATCTCAATTATGTTATTTTGACGTTTGGAACTTTTTTTGTTTTATTTACTTATTAGGCGATGGGACACGTTTAATAATTGCATCTCGGTTTTAATAATAGTCGTAGCTAGGAGTAGAAAATTGCGCGCATCTCTTATCCCTTACTCTCGATTTAACAAAGGACGGAAATGGAGAAAAATGTCAATTGGAATGTACGTGTGTTAACAAATCTCAAATTATTACAATATGTAAGAGATGCAAATTATAAAATAGTCTCTCACAGAAGATGCATCTGATGTTTTTTATCGGAATTGTTTGCAATGCGCTCTACAGCATAAATTATGGAGTTGTACGTGTGTGCGTGTATATTTAATATACCTATTCGTTAACAAAAAAAAAAATCCCCTCCCTTCCTGTGTGAAGTCAATATTTTATATCTACTAATTTTATTACGAAGAATAGAGTGATACGAGATTGTACATTATTATCACTCACTTCTAATATTGTCCATTGAAAAAAAGACAACAAGATAACAAGTTAACATATAATACCGTATAAATACTTGAAAAAAAGTAGAAGACACTTGAAAATGATGCTGTAAAACGTTTGCGTCTTCGTGGAATATACTTCCTAATTCTTCCAATCAAAACAAAGTGATTGCAAGAAAATGGAAAACACGGTAATAAGCATTAACCTGTACAAAACAGAATGTCTGCAATATCCAATAGCGATATCTGCCCGAAATAAAATCATAACGAAGATGGGTTATAGTTGGTAAATATATTCCCGTCTATAGGATTCTTCAAGTTCGATATTCAAGTCTCATCGCTATTCACGCCTGCTTATACTATCTTGTATTACTTGTTCGTGTAAACTGTAAATCTATAAGGAAATCTTTTTTTTATTTTGTATACCCCGACACTTGGTCAGTGAGCGCGTATGTTTCTTATGGCAATTCTAGTCAATTAAAAAAGTGCAAACAAAGGCAGTGGCGATTATGAGTTCAGGCCTTGACGCTTCTCTTCTTCAAGCATCGCATCAAGTTCATCTGTGAGATTGGCAAGCATATTTCCAATATCGTTCAAAACATCCGCAGGTTCGCTACCACTGGAATGATGATTAATTACTTGACCGATATTGCCGCTGTTCGGTCCGCTCGGTATATATTCTTGTGCTCGGCCAGCCCTTTGCTTTATCGTACCAGCGTTCTCATTGGCAAATGGCAGCGAGTCTGATTCTGTACTGGAACTTGACTATAAAACAACAAAATATGTTAGGTTAGGTTAGGTTAGAGTTCTTATAACTACAATTAAGCTACAAAATTAACTGTTTTCGAGATTTAATCTTACCTTAAAGCTAGCATCCGATCCGTTGCGATGCTGTAGAGCGAGAGAGGCGATTAGCTCGTGTTCCTCATTGACATTAACACTTACGCTACCCCATGAGCGCGACATCGAAGAAGGCGGTCGATTAAGCTGCGAAGGTGTGGAAGGCGCCGGAGTAGGCGCCGGCGGAGGTGGCGATGGATGATGAAGCAAATGATGATGATGATGAATGTGATGATCATCGCACGTAGCAGTTGGCACTGGCCCGCTACAGTCGATCACGACTTCGCCGACAGCTGAACTGTTTATTCCTACTACGGAAGAACTAGTTGCATCTCTGGAACTCTGCCGTCTCGGTGGCGATGGAGGACATCGTTTCGGAAGATGTGGACTACTCTCATGTCCGTAGGTTAATTGATACTTGTTATCGAAGTCTCTTGGCAAGGATTTGTATTGCCCGGGTGTCGCGGTGACCTAACAATTATATATTAAACAAGCCATTGAAAAACCATTCACATCGGAATAAGAACTTGAATAAACTCAGCTGTCAAATAAAAAAAAAAAAACATCTTTCGCCTGTCTCATATCTGATATACACATTGTGTGCAATAAAATTAATTACTATACCTTAGCTACAGGCCGCGGACGAACGAGGCAATGTCTTGGTCGTGGAAGAGTACCGCCACCAGCATCTACAGCAGAAGCATCATTCGTAGGTGTAAGATCACCATCTTCAAAACTGCGTGGACGCCAATCGAGAGGTTGCGGATGTGATGTAGGAGCTGGTGACGGAGGATAACCAAGAGGTGCATCCTCTAAGCTCTCCAATGATTTTCCTCGAGAACTAGAACGACCGACTGTATTGTAATCAGCTGGAAGTGCGGCGTACATACTTCTCCAAGTAGCACCAGAAGTATCTCTTTGGAAAGATCTGAGTACAGGCGAGGAACAATCTTCGTCGGGTGATGGCAAGTCAGGTCCACCTCGTTGAATAACGACATCCTGTAAGTTAATTATTTATCGATAACATATCGTTGTGCATTTGCGCTATTTTTGATTTTTATGTGTATTTTCATTAGCAATATATCAAGAAATTATACTATTTAGAAAATTTATTGTAATTAAACAGAAAAATAGGTGTATATGTATATTACCTGCGTATGTCCAGGATGTGGCGGCAAACGTGCCAGATCAAGCGGTTGTATACGCTTGCCAGCACGAATATCCTTCACTCTTTTAATTGCCAATAATAATTTCTTTTGATGTCCTAGGCGTACAATACCAATGTCTTCCAGATCCTCCCAAGTAAGAGTCGTTACATCCTCGACAGAACGCATACCCTGTTGATGAAGAGCACCGAGATATTCCTCGAGCCTAAGAAGCCTCAGCCATTCTTCCAGTGATCCGGGCACATGTTCCGGTAATCCGTCGCCTATATTTAAGTTGTCTATTTCTGCCTTTAATCGTTTTCTGTGATTGGGTTTTTTAATACCTGTAATATGATGTTAAATAGTGTATATTCTTTCATATTTCCTATTTCACTCGGCAATAATGATTCGTTTGACTGGGCGATGTTGTGTCATCATATATGTGTGCCCGTGTGTGTATGAAAGATTTTATTCGACCTTACCTATAGCCGTGAGGTCTTCCGGTGTCATGCGCGTTATAGTAGCAAGGTCATAACCCGCGGAAGCAAACAAGGGAAAGTACTCTTCAAATTGGAGCTCGGTTAACCAAGCGTGAACGACGTCAAGATCTGTTGGTCGATCAGGATGACTTCCGAGGGAACTAATAGAACATCTCGGAGATGAAGCAAGAGCACCAGGTCCTCGTGGACCTAAGTGATATCCAGATGCTCTTCCGGAATCTAGCGATGCTGTAGAATGTCTGGAACCGGAACCTGATCCCGAACTACCAGGACTATCTCTGCCTGGACTTTGAGTCATGTCAATACCTAAGAAATTCACGCGTAAAACGTCACACCAAATTTATTTTTAATGTTTTTAAATTAACGTAATTCTTCACTGATCGCGTAATTATTGTTTTAGTTTAATTTTTTTTGTAATTAAAAATTGTTTCTCTTTTCTTTAATTTACGAACACAAAGACATTGTAGTTCTCGAAAATATTATTGTAGAAAAAAATTACGTGAGAAGGAAATGAAACAAAAATAAATATAAAAGAAAAAACTTGGTTTTTTTTTTATAAAGAAGAGTGCGTAGAAAAATTTTATTTTAAATTAGTTGTTTCGATTACGTTAGTGTTGTTTGTTGATCGACGTTCGTTGATCGAAATCGTGTCCTATATTTTCCGCGATAAAAACTCATCTAATATATCTCACGATATGTTTAACTCGCACCTTGATCCTCGGCATGGGCGTACTTGCCGACAACGGGTGGAAAGGCAAAGCCAGGATGGGTAAAAATAGGTCCCGGACTTTTTCCAGATGGTATCCCATAGGAACCATCATCCGTCGTACCTCCAGGTCCACTTCCAGAGAGGAAACAGCTATCCTCGCTGCTAGCATATCCAGCTGAGCCAAAAGAAGAACCAGAGTGTCGAAACACGTCCGGTACAGCCGGCGGTGCTACTTTCTTTGCTTGGGTCACGGCTTTGGATGGCCGGCTCATACCGCCAACTGTAACATAAATGTAACATAAACTTCCATTAAATAAATTTTATATATAGTTTGCGCCCATGTATAATAAATAGCAACAAATAGCTTGCACAAAACTAGAAATTTTGTAAGTTTCGATTTGAAAGAGGAAAAGAAGAAAAAGACAAAGAAAAATTGGAAAAAAGAGAAAAAGAGGAAAGAAAGAAGATTAAAATAGATGTGTTATTCGTTGCGTTTTTTCTTTCGAGAAAAAAGTCCTCATGTAGCACGTGACGTTCGTTCGTTCGGCTGCTTATCTTGTAAGTACGTGCGTCGAAGATAGATCGAGAATAAAGAAAATACACACAAGATGTGTCTAACAATAAAAATATTAGAAAGTATATTGTAAAACATTTGCTTTTTTTTTAAATAATTTCATAAAATCACCGAATTTTTGATCACGCGCGACAATATAAAATATAAGAACAAGTTTGTTGTAATTTCTTCTTCTCAAATTAAATTTCACTCACTTTAATTAAAAATAGAAAAAAAAACACTTCTCAAAAACAACTTGAGAGAATATCTTGCTATATTTCCTTTCTCATCGAGTTCTTTCGCGATGCACATTGGGGCACGTGCCAGAACGCTGACCACGAAAGTGTCGCAGTTTACAATGCGCTTACTGTGTTAAGGCTACATTCGGCGACGGACAGACACGCGCGCTCATATATTGAATTAAATGTTGAAAGTAACAAAATGTGTTTCGCGGACTGAGAACGATTTAAACGTTTCGTGAAATGAGAATCTTTATTTAATATTTTCTACAAAGTGACATCAAAGAAATAATATTTAAATTTATGTATATAAGGTTTTCTTCAAAAAAAAACTCCAATTTTTTATTTATTTATATAATTAAAAATATATATAATTTAAGAAACTATATATATTTAATATGTAATATATATTTGATATAATTATATATATTTGATATAATTATGAGAAAAAAATATTTTGGCACAGCAGGCGTTGCGAGCGGCGCTTGCAACGTTAACTTTGTTATTTACAGTGAAAAGAAGATTTCTCATTTTTTTTCTTCATTAAATCCCGCACAAATGTGCGATCTTCCGCACACTTACGCTGTAAGAGATTTTTCCAACTGCCATAAATCGTCTTGATGCACTTGCTCAAAGGCGTGCTCGGCAGCGTTGTTATGCGTGAATACAAATTGCCTTCGGAGCAACTTCTAAAAAGACTCTGTTTAATAGCCTGCGCGTCAACAGTCGTTTCTTGCGGGCGCAATTCTCTTATCGGGCTCTTGTTACATTCGCGAGGAAGCCAGGCTTCCACGGCGGGATCGCGAAAACTCATATACGTGGACGATTTCTTCGAGGACTTTTGGAGAAATCGCTTTCCAGGCGGCAAAGGCGGGGGACCCAGACAATTCGTCACAGCAATAATCGCCATTTGCACTGTGTGTATTGTAAATTTACAACGAAGATTCAACTTGTTACAGGCTCGTGAAAAAATTATTCGACCATTTAGTCGGACAGAACGCTTAGAAAACTCAGTAGTTCGCACTTATGTGAAGTGAAAGACTTTAAACAGACACACACTGGTTGGAATTAAAACACTTTTTTTTTTTTTTGAAAAGATACCAAACACTACGTCGAAGGAGAAAGATTTAAGGTGATGTGAGAGACGGCAAAATTATATGTTTGTTAAATTCAATGAATTCAACATTCTCTCGTCGACAATATCGAAGAAGAAAAGCACAATTGACAGACACGACTGTCACGGAAAGGTACATGGCTTATAGGTAGACGCAAGCGCAGTTAGTAGTGGCTAACGCAAAGGGGCGAGGTCGAAGGTGGGTGAACGGGTTCTCCAAGCCGGCGTGGGCCGTCGCGTAGGTAGTTTTTCAAAAGCGCACCATGTGAATCAACTCGACATATGGAAATATTAAAAGAACGAGGAGGAAGGACGCAGAGGGAACAAAATTATCGCGTTTTTTATTCATTGAACCTAGTAAGTTTTATTTTATAAAACTTTTTTCATGACTACTTGACGTATATCGGTGCGATACAGCAATGGGAATAAAGTCATATTACATTAATGGTTTAGTTTTTTTAGTACAATGTTATGTATGTCACACATATACACGCGCGCGCGCGCGCACACGCACACGCACACATTTATCTACATCATGCACTAAAATGCTCGAACTCCAGCAAATATCGAACAGCATATGAGCGGTTACAATCAAGCGAATATCAAACCAGCAGATACGGTAATGCACGCAGATACATAACTTTCAAAGGAAACAAGATGTAAGAAAGTGAAAAAATTTAAATTGTTAGCAAAACCATTTTTTGTCTCGTGGTAGAAAAAATCTTTTATCTCTTAAGAACAAAACGAAGAAAAATAGAAAGCGTATCATCTCGAAAGTAATCGTAGGATTTTTGTATCTGCGATCTGTTGTTGCATTATGCTGTGCCGTCTTCCTTTTAAGTCTCGCTCACCCGTCTCTATATCGCGCAGCAAACGAGCTCTCGCTCGTTTTCCACTTTTGGCCTCTTTCATATTCTCTCTCTTTTCCTGTTTTATCTAACTTGTAAATACTTTGCCATCAAGTGTGTGCTAAATTAGTGAGATAATTTTTTTTGTACATTATTATCTCTCTATTTTTTAGTAGCATAAAATCGGCATTATTATATAACTGTTTTCTTCACCGTTTAAAACTGGCAGCGCTGTTTTTGTTGTCACATACAACTACTATTTCCTATAGATACATATATTTATCTCATAAACATATATTTTGAAAGTAGACTTAATAAAAATTTCAGATTTCAGACACGTCTTTTACTTCGCCAGGACAATTATTTGCAGAAAACAGCTTAACTAGAGCTTTCTTTGAGCTTGCGGATAAAATAAAAATGCGATTTATATTTTATACTTGGCAGTTTATTGCAACAAGTATCTTTAGCTGAATTAAAAAACTTTTTTTTACACAAAATATTAATATTTATGCGAGATACAGTGATTCGCGTGAAACGTGTCTATCTGCATAGTGTTCACGATTCTGCCACACACTTTGATTTGACCCGCGCGTTCCCGCTCACGCGCGCGCGCACACATAATTAATTCAACATTGATGAAAACCACCAGTCTGTCGGTAAATTTTATTGTGTACCACTTTTGCCAAGTGTAAATAGTGTAACATCACAGAAAATGTATGGAACTTTATTGAAAAAACTTTATTTAAAAAAACAAAACAAAAAAAAATTATCGCTGAAATGTAAAAGATGTATGCAGTTTTAACACAGTTTCAAGAATGATTGAATATCTAAAGCCAGGGATAAATGTTAAAAACTTAAGCAATGTAAACAACGTCAGAAACATTATTTCCGAAGCTCGCATGTGATTGGTCAATTCGCTTGGCTCCGCTCAGGTCTTACTATTTTAATTTTGTTTTTTTTTTTCGTGTGTCTCCGGTCTCTAAGAGTGAAGGAAAAAAGAACAGATAAAAATATGCAGTAACCTGGCCCGATGCAATTTGCATAATGCATCGGGGTGGACGATCGCCGAAGTGGATCCTCGTCAAGGACGGGCAGAAACGGGTTGCTTCGCTCTGCAATTATGATCGATAACTCTCGGTCGTTTTATTTTACGGATTTCTACTTTTTACTTTATGTTTTGTATCCGGGGTTTGTTTCGACACAACACGAAAAAAATACTACTACTATTGTCAAAATCATGTCTTCAATTTATACGTGCGTTCATATCCGCAACCAAATTGAACTTTTACACTTTAGAAATGTACGAGTTAATTTTTTGTGTTCATATCAAGTGCCATAATTTTTATGCGTTAAACTAAAACCAACATTATTGTTACAACTTGCATCTGTAAACAAATATCAACATTTTCTAATGCAAAGTCTTGCTTTGTGATCTATTTTTTTTATTGTGTAAAACATTAATGATAAAAAGAGCATGTGAAATCTATTTTTATCGTTTTTGATACTGAACATTTGTGTTGTTACGACACGAACACATATTACTTTACGCAAGATAACACTGAAAACCAAATCGATAATCAAGTGACACGATATGTAATTATGAATCGGGATATCGATAAAATTCACTGTGCGGAAAAGTATGTCAACAAGAATATCGTCATGTTTACATAAAAAAAAAACACGATGTGCAACAATCGCATTATGTGTGTATGTGTACACTCTCAGAGTTCAAAGCAAACTGTCTGTATATAAAAGAAAAATGACATTTTTTAATCTTTACGAGCATCTCGACGGGAATGTTTGTGATCAGTTTCGACAGCACAAAACTCGAAAACGCACGATTAGCAAACAAAGAGTTTTACTTGTTCCGTATAAGTTTTTACGAATCGAGCACGTGTAAAACGTGTCGGCATATATAAAAATGTCTTTATCGAGTGTACGCTTGAGATTTCATTTATATTAGATTCAAATAAAATAAAACTTTGTATGCAATAATAATTGAAACGAGAGAATTTTTGCTTACAATAAGGAAAAATAGTGTACTCTTAAAAGGCAAGGTAACACGCTGTTATATATAAAGTCAAACTACCAAATACAACAATTACTTGTTAAATAACAATAAAGGAAATAATACATGCAAACAAGCAAGCAGAAATGTATAAAAACAATATAATAAAAGAGAATACACAAATACATTAATAGTAATATTGAATCGGCAAAGCATCAAATACTCTTGATTCAGTTAATTATAAGTTTATGTAAAATAACGTACATTTAAAATGCAATAAAGAGAAAATTTGTTATAAAAATTTGTGCTAATTGAGAGTAAAAATTTACATAGCAGCAGCCGCAGCAGTCTACACACATATTATATTATCCATCTATCCACCCATTAACATACACATATATACATACGTATATACACATGTATAAATATATGTATATATATATATATATACACACACACATATATATATTTATATATATACACGTTGATGAGAGAAAGAGAGAGATCGGACGGCTTACCGCTGATGCGTCTCATGGCGGCTCACGACGCGGCTCGCGGACGGTGAGCAGTTCGCTGTACCGTCGTTGTAATGTGGATGGTAGATCTTTTCGTGCGACGTAAACACCATACCACACGAATCAAGCATCGGTAATCATCTACGTCGTGCACACGTTGAATCTGCGAAGCGAAACGCTCGCGCCATTGCTCGCGCGAATGCCACTCTTCGGTCGAAAGCGGCTGTGTTCCAACGACTCTCGCGATTGATAAGCACAATAAGCGTGTTGAGATTCACACGTTGCGTTCAACGCAGATCCACATCGCGCACACAAAACAGGCAACATAAAGCCCGGCTAGACGAATGTTCGGACAACTCGTGCATAATCTAATGTTATAAAACGGGGATATAAAACGGTACAAGACGAAGAGCTACTACTTGAGCAGACATGCGACACTGCAAACTGCAATCGCTTCTCGCACAACGCCGATTAATGTTCGCAATCGCCGCCAGGGTGCAGGAGCTATCGGTAACACTTGGATTTAGAAGATTAGACGCGTGCGGTGTGCGCTAAAGAGATTAAGGCCCGAATTCATAGTCGTCTCTCAGATCTCAGATCTCATCTCATCTCTTTCCCTCTCTTTTTCTCTCTCTCTTTCTCTCTCTCTTGAGATCTGAGATCTGAGATCTGAGAGACGACTATGAATTCGGGCCTAAAACACTCAAATAAATATATATTTTCATTATATATATATATTTATATATGTATATTTATGTATATACACACAGTCGAACCTTCCTATTGTCATCACTGCCGAAACGATTCCTTAGGGATGCACTCTATTGTCACCATTCCCTCCCCTGTTCCGTGACAATATGGCGTTCAACGCTGCGCAGAAATGAGACGCATATGATGTACTCCGCGCATGGCGGGTAGGATGACAGGGATAACAGTGCAGGGAAAAAAAATGACAAACGGAAAGTTACCGACAATGATAAGGTGCAGTAGGGAGTAGTGACAAAACGGAGCATTGACAATAGGGGATTCGATTGTGAAGACGTGGCATCTAATAAAATAAAAAATTTAGTTTCTTTAATAAACAAGAGAATACTGATTCGACTCTGAGACTGCGCATGCGACACATCGTGCTTCCTGCATCCCGTCCTTCACAGCCTTTTAGTTGCGCTTTTGCAAGTATTTTCCTTTCTTACTGCTTTTACACGCACTTATTACAAGTAAGTACGTACTTCTGTCTAATACTACCCGCTTTCCTAAACTTAGTAGCAT